AAATGTACGCTCATGAGAAGGCATGAACGTGCCACCAAAAAAGTCAAGAGAAGTATAAACAAGGCAAGGGGAAAGGGCAAGAGAATTTCCAGTCTTTCTGCAACTCGGGAATCCTGCCTGCGTCTCGCTGTGCCAGGTCACCCTGGGAAACCCAGACAGCCAGAAAGGGCACTGCTCCCAGAGCAGGAGCAGACACCACAGAACTCATCCACGGGCACTCAGGGCTGTAAAATCACCTACAGCTGGGAAAGGAGCAAGCACTGGGCTTCAACCTCCAGCTGTTGGACACACGCAGGAGCTCAGGCAAGTGATACCCAGTGATGAGAGCACACAGCAAGCCACGGGCACTGCTGGAAGAGGGCTAACTCTGGGCCTGCTTGGTGACCACACCAAGATCAGATGTGCCTTTGCTCAATCAGATCCTTTACACCACCAGCCCATGAACTACTGAAGAGGAGTTTGCAACACAACTACCAAAGCCAGCTCTTCTGCTGGACCTGTGTTCACTTCACACATCCAGGAGGGAAGGCTGGTTCAGGCCATACAAGCTGTGCTCATGCTCCCGTAGGGGTTACACATTTTTCAGCTGTAAAAGTCTAAGCAGGAAATCAAAACCCAGCTGAACCAGAGGCTGCTGCAGTGAGATAGGCATCTCCTCTGACTTTCCACAGACCTGCCATTACTGGAACCAGTCAGCTGACCCCAAACATAGTTCTGGGTCTTGAACTTTGTTTTGCTTTGAAATACTCTGTCCTGTTTCTTTTGACCTGTTTTATGGGATCAGGTTAGAAGTGACTAATTTTACAGGTTCATTAAGCACTGTGCCTTCCTCTAGGCTCACCCTGCCTTCCTCTTTCCTCTATTCACAGTTCTGCTCCTCACCGTTCCCCCTGAGAATCAGGCAGCAAGAGAAATTAGCAGACACTCCTCCTTGAAGGTTTTCACAGCCACCACTCTGTTAGAGCCACCAGCTATCAAAGGGTTTGCTTCACCACCAGCCCCTTCACCAGCAGCTCCTCTCCCTCCCCTTGCCAAGCTTTGGTGCTTGCACTTCTTGAATGTAGATTAAGCTGCCAAAGTCCACTGTCACGGCAGAGCTAAAAAGACTTGTACTCAACAAACCAACACTGAAGATACTAAGTTTCCAAAAATCACAGAGACAGAAGGCAGATTAAGCTGCCAAAGTCCACCAAGTGTCGTGCCAGAGCTTCAAAGACTCGTACCCAACAAACCAACACTTAAGACGCTGAGTTTCCAAAAATCACAAGCACAGATAAGGCCACTTGGGGGCCTCCTTGTGTTTCTCTTCCTGAACAGTATCCCTCCAACAAGCACACATCAACGTGTGATGCTGTAGCCTTGAGGAGAAAAGACACCAAACTATTAGCCAAATACTGTATGTTATTGCCTAATGGCATGGCCTGTACCTCCAGGTCCCCCCTGGCTGTCCCTGCCCGCCCCTGACTCATCTCACCTGCTTCACCCACCCCTGCCTCCCCAAGCAGGGATGTACCCAAGTGCCCAGGTCCTCCCCGTGACGTGAAGCTGTCACAGCGCCCTGCGAGGCCCATCTGTTGCCCCGCAACCTTTAAATTCTGAATTAGTATCTATTAAGACAGCTTCCTGGAACAGTACTCACATTCACATCTACCGCTGGGCTCTGTCACACGGCCAGCAGGAGTCAATAAAATGCAGTTCATCACGGGATTTGCCATAACAATGGGACACAAACAGACTTAGTCTTACGTATAGAAATGATGTCAAACAAATTAGCTTTGCCCGAGTTAGTCAGATGCTCTTGCAAAGCACGGCCCTATCCTCTCATGGCTCAACCCCACTTGTGCTACTTGTCAGATGGAGCTATGGAGTGTTCCCTTTGCACACGTGGAAGACAGAGGAAGGGTTCTTCCCCCCTCAGTAAAAAAACCCAAACAACAATCCAAAAAAACCAACAAAGAGCATACATAACATACTTCATGGAATGACAGTGCCAAAGCTCCACCACTCCCATCCCTGGATGGCTCCTTGCCCTGGGAAGCTGAAGGTGATGAGGCGATGGCAGATAAATCTGCAAAAAGCAACAGCTACTCCAAGACTGGGCCTCCAGGAGCACGGTGGGCCTGAGGAGCAGGTACGGGCACTCAGCTCGGGGCTCACACACAGACCCTGCCCAGGAAGCCCTCCCACACTGGCCACCCCGGGCTGGGCCCCATTAGCCCATCTCTGATCAGTCATGACCAGGAAACGCAGCTGGACATTTGAATATTCAAACTACAGCAAACAGTATTTTTGCTTATTAAAGGACAAAATACTGTAAAAAAGAAACATCACCAGGTAATCTTTACATGGAAACTTGCATTCACCAGATAAATTCAACATGAAGTTTCATTAAAAGTTAGTGTTTAAGTGACTCAATGTTAGACATGGAATCAAAACCTCTCATTTGAATACCTCTGACTTTTTTTATGAGTTGGAAAACTGAGCCTTATTTCCACAGGTGGCCTTATTTCCACAATGGGGAAAAAAAAAACCCAAACCATCAGATGGAAAACTGCCTCAAGACAGCTATGCAAGACAGGCCTCAACTCCCAAGCTCAGTGGACCTTGACCTGCTCCACAGAATGAGCATTTTAAAGTTTTTATTCTATTTGTCTGTGAAACTTTGTCTCGCAGACTATTTTCATATTTAAAAAAATAAAATTAGAATTTTAATTTTATTTGAGCAACCCAACAATTGGTTTAGATCAGTTATACAACAAACTCTATGTTGTGATGTGAACTGTTGCTTCTACATAGCAGGACATTGGCCATAACTAATCTTTAAAAATCAGCTACAGAAAAAACTCCACAACAGAAGTCATCCGAGTGCTATGCTTATTTCTGTGTGTCACTCACTGCTTGCATTTTGACTTCTATTTCTATATGGACATTTACCAATTTGAAGCCCCAGCAAGACGGACAAAAAGATTTAGACTTCAATGCTACAGATTTCTTCCACTAACAAGATGTTCACCAAATCCAGCAAACAGCACCGTGGCCCTTTCCAGGCCTTAGGGTCAGGCTTTATTTCCCTTAAATATAAAGGAAAAACGTTGGTCTGCAAACAGGAGAAAAGCAGGCACCTGGATCCTGGATGGGCCAGGGTCCGTGCCAACTTAGATAAAGCAACTTGCCCTTTTCTGTGCCTCTGTTTCCTCCTGTATCATTTCATCTGGCCTCCCAGAAAAGAGGTGTTCACCTCTTCTCCCTACAGTTCTCTCACCTCTAAATTAAGGCGTCTGCTTGCCCACAGTGGCACTGGGCTTACACAGAGTCAAACTCTGCTCTGCACCAAACCAGGCCTGCACCCCGGCAGCCACATGAGAGCCTGCTCTTCCCATCTGTGCAGCAACCAGTACAAAGGGACCAGCACTAACAGTGCTCCCAGTAACAGCACAATAAACCTCCTCCTCTTCTGCACAAACCAGTGCTGTCACACCTCCTTCAGCTCCCCAAGAGCTGCTTCCTACAGAGCCTGCTCTTGCTCCCATTCGATTCAGCGAGAGTGGGAGCAGCTCAGAGTCTACTCATAGAACAAGATTTTATTGCTGTCATGGTAATTAATGACTACTTACGCTGAGGCTTTAATGAGTACCTGCGCTTTTTTTTTTTTTTTGGTTTGTTTGTGAACTGGGTCATAAATAAGGAGTCCCAAACGATTTCCTGGATTTATAGTACAACAGGGACCTCTACAGGCATCTCCCTCTTTGGAGCACATCCTGCACGAGCAGCCACGCGGGGCTGCAGATGCCACCAGAGCTCTGCAAGCACAGACACCCAGAGTGCTGAGCTGTGCACAGACCTTCAAGCTGCTCACTGGTACCTTCAGGCCACCGAAACGACACCGTGAAATACGACCAATAACCACTGCATTTTCCCCGACTCCTCATTTTTCTATTTTTTTTTTTTTTTCCTACAGGCTGGATCCAGCTCCCCCAGTGCCAGGAAGCTGTGTGGTTCCACACCAGGAGATACTGAAACGAGCAGGGTTATTGAAGGCACTTCCTACAAAGGGCTGGAGTTGACCGAATACACTCTTCAGATTATTCATCTGCAAATTGTCTTATTTCAAGCACTTACATTTTGTCATGATACCTCTCTGAATAGCTCCAAAAGTTAAATCACAAACCAAAGAAATTGTATTTTGTACGACATGAATGCAGAGCTGAAATGGTTATTCAAAAAGAAACTCTTGCTCTTCGCCATCAAGCTTTCATTTTACCAAGACTGATCCCTCTTTCCAAACTACTAGAGTGTTACTGACCTACTAGAGAACCATTTCTTAAAAGAACTCAAAGGAGCAGAAGAGTGATCTATTGGCCACAGCACTATGAGCAGGCTGGAACAGTTTGGTGCCTCTCCTTCCTGTGCCTTTAATCCCTCCCTGGCTCAGTTCTGCCCAGCACTCCCTCCCCAAGCACTGCCCGGCTTCACAGGGATGTGCTAAAGGCAAATCCGTTAGGGACTGCGAGCTGCAGGGCTCATGGCAGCTATTCCAAACTTGATTATTAAATCCATTATTTTGCCAAGTTAGCTTTCTCTTTGTGGGATGCTTTTCCAGTTGCAGTGTATTCACAGACCAGAAATTAAATAAAATATATAATGGGTGTAAAGAATGACAAAGCTATAAAATTTTGCTGAGAGCCACATGATTTTTTGGGGTTTGAATTTTGTTTTGGTTTGTTTGAGTTTTTTTGCATGAAGTCCAGAGACACCAGCAAGTAACGAGTTTCACAGCTAGTTCTTAGGCCACAACCCAGTACCCAGACCACACGCTAGTTAGCCTTGTGTTAGCCACAGGAGGACAAATCAGTTTTTCACTTTTAATGTGCTTCACTAGAAGCAGCTGGGCTGCCAGGGTAAGTGGGGAGGACAGACACCCTGCTGTGTTACTATGCAAAACATACTCTTGGTTACGGAGAGTAAGAGAAAACCTTCTCTGGTGGCAAACTGTCCCTTACCTGCCTGCCTGCCTTGCCATCAGACCTCAAAGCCCTTCTTCAGGAGCCTCTGGCACTCCCTGCAGGTGCTGGCTGGCTATGGGACTAGTTGGGCCAGTGGCCTGGCTGCTCAGCTGGCTGAATCAGCCGTGTGCCACCACGGGCACCCCTGTTCATCAGGCAGGGAGGACAGGGATGCTGCGCGCTCCCAGCATCAGCCATCAGTACACTTCCTTACAGCTCCTGCCAAGATGAAAAACAGCATTTTGGAAGGACAGTCACTTCTCCACGGGCCTGCAGCTCACCATTTGAATAGACCTTGCTGGGATGGGGTACGCTGCCGGCCACCCACAGTGTTGAAACAGAAAATGGGTGTCGAATGCAGGGGAGGTGCTGGAGTCCCAGCCAAGCCTCAGCACCAAAGGACACCTGCAGATGCCAGCGAAGCAGGGAGAGGGCTGGGTGGCTTGAGGGCAACTAGGCTAGAGAGATGTGCTGCAGGAAAAGCTGGTGTGGTTCCACCAGCCGGGATCACACACAGGGCAAGTGCTCAGTCCATTAGAGGGGCAGATCCCGGTCTTCACCGTCTCTCTCTCAGCCCTGCCGAGCCAGTGCCCCAGCAAAGCTGACACAGGGCTGCCTAACAGTCACACAAACTCAGGGGCTCCTCTGGAAATGACAGTTTTTGGCACGTACAGCTAATAGGAAGCAGAAGCTTACGACTCTTAATTATGCCATTACAGAAGGAGTCTGAGCCTGATAAATGAGCCAGGAAAGACGATCCCCATCCTCTGACGGGCCAGTTCTGCAGGAAATTCAGCACTGTAAGCAGCACCACACCGCACTAGCCCAGTGGCATCTGTCACTTATCAAGGCAGGGCTCGGCGAGGCTGACTCCACGAAGCAATCTGAGGCAACGCAGGCTTCCTCAGCTGGGCCACTGCATCCAGCAGCAGCGTGATTCATTCACACAGCCATGCCTCAAACACAGCTTGGGCCTGACGAAATCCCTTAAAACTGCAATGACAACACTCTTCTCCCACATGGGCTACAGCCTGGAAACGCTGACTGATGGAGAAAGCTGCCATCTGCGTTGATGCCACCTGCCCTGGATGTCTAAGCAGCTGGTAGCCTGCTCCGAGGTTGTGCTTCAGCACCCAGGAAGCAAGGAGCCCGTTTCTGGAAGCCTCAATACCACTTGGAAAAAGAAAACTAAAATGAAGCAAAGACCTCCTTTCCCTTCCTTCTTCCCATCTTGGTATTTCCATTTTATTCTCACTCTGTCCTTACAAAGTCTCATTTTGCACAGCACAGACTCATCTGCTGTTTTACCTTCGAGCTTTTCCTTCGCTAGCAGAAAAATCTCACCAAACTTTCACTGGCAGCCCTTCCAAATGTGCCTTGGGCCAGAAAGCAAACTAGATAAAAATATTTTCACTGTTTAGTCCGCTGTTAAACTGAACTTAAAAAGGTTTTAAAGGTTTTAAATAAATCCTCCTTTTGAGTTATGGTTAATCAAACATTAAAAAAAAAAAAAAGGAGGTGACTGTGTGTTTCTATAGGCACAGGTGTCTCACTGCAATGAGTAAATACTTCTGAAGCAGCACTTGCATATCCTGCAAGGCAGCCGGCAGGTAAAACATATCAAAAAAGGCAGTTTTTGCTGGCAGGTATCAAAAAAGAGAGGACATGCAAATGGTTAAAGCCATATAAAATCCATCTCTCTCCGACAGCTTCCTTTGGACAACTGAAAGTCCAGTTCTCCTGCCCTTAGAACTCCTTTAACAAGGGCACGTACACCCTGAGCAAGTTGTGTCCCTGCGTGTGCCTGCTCCAAGACGCAGCCTCCGCGATGCCGGCAGGTCGGTACCCCATGAGCGAACACGACGCTCGCAATGTGTGTGCAGGAACAGTCAGCTCACTGTGGAGAAGGAAATTCACTCACAGGACAAAAGCTTTGAGGCTCTTCGTCCTTTGGCCTACTCAAATTTGCTCCATGACCAAGGAGAAAGATCTCTCCCCTGTGTTTTCAGAATGACATGCCTGTGTCTGATAGGTATTTCCGCTCAGACCGTCCAGTGTGTGCAGCAGGTGAAGGGTGGTCTGTGTGTGTCTGTGCAGATGTGCAGACCCTAATTCACATCTAACAGCACTCTCACTACACACGTGGGACACGGAAAACGTCAGGACAACTACCAAAAGCTGGCCTGAAAATCGTGAAAAGCAGAAGTTGCCTCTTAGTGGATACTAAGAAAAGGTCAGAAGAATGGAAAGGAGCAAACACAGAGATGTGAAGACTTAACTTGAGATGAAGGAAACAAAAAGGCTGGGAGTTGGAAAATCAGCTCGGTGGCTCTTACAAAACACTCATGTCAATGCAAAGAGGAAAGGACTGGTCTCTGTCTCCATCCAGCTCCTCACCAACAATCCTCTCTGTGTACGCACGGGTCGCTTGCTCCAGTCTGCTGCACAGGGACTCTGACCAAACACTGTGTGACATGTTGTTTCATTTATTGGTATCAAATGGAGAGCCAAGATGGCTCAGCTACTGACCAGGATGCCCCTGTGCGAGAAGCCCACTGAACTTCAGGCCACTCGAGTGCCAAATGTACATTTACCCTTTCATACACATTTCAGCATTGTCATTGTAGTCTCACAAATACACAGGTCTCTTTTCAACAAAAGCCATGCATTCTGTTGTGAAAATTGACTCGCATAACAAAGAAATGGAGCTTTCCAGCAGGGCACCTAAGTTTAGGAGCCTGTATCACCCCATGAAATTGCAAAGTACCTAACTGCCTTTTTCTCGCAGGTGGTTAAGCACAGGAGATGCGTCTACGACGTGTAATGGCTGAAATGAAAATCTCTTAGAGCCATCTCCAGTCTCATCAGCACTGGCACATACTCCAACTGGCAGTGAGAAGTCACAGTGCCACCCTCTTCAGAACCATTCTTCTTCCCTTTTCCTTGAACAAATTCTTTTTACTTCTGTGATTCTTCACAGACAAGATGAAGAAAAGCAAGCATCTGGTACGTAAGGTGTTTGTCCAGGGTGGAACAAAATCCCTGTAGTCCCTTCTTTCTTATTTGAGTGGTGACATTGTGCACATAATGTGAGAACAGAATAAAAAGAGCGTTTCCTGGGCAAAACTATACTGAAGTTTCATAACAAAATTCCAGCTCCACCAGCAAATGAAGTCTTGTGCTGAAATCACATTGCGGCAAGGTAATGTTCTGCCTGAAGTTCTGTGAATCTGATGATGTCAGGGAACAGTAGAGTTCTTTGTCAGGAGCACACTCAATAATCCATTTTGAGAAACATGTCCCATTCCTTGCTTAGGGACACAGGAAGAACTCGCCATGCCCAGAGGTGCCATGGTCTAATTTTCCAGGAATTGCTTACTCTCTATTCCTAAGTTCACGTAAGCTTTTGAGAACCATCCATTTTCAGTCCAAAAGCATTTTACGGTTTTGTCCTTTATGGAAACAGAAGCCTATGCTTTGCTGAGCACACTGAAGAGAACTGCTGTGCTGGAAGAGGGCTGTTTATCCATAAACACAGGCAGCAGATGCTGAAATTAGAACCCAAACGGTTTCTTGTCAGCACATGATGTTCAGAATACAACTCCGCTGCGAGACAGGTTGTGTTTTTCCTCCAGAGGAGAAAAAAGAAGAAGAAGAAAAAAAAAAAGACAGAAAAGACCAGAGCAGAACACTGTATTATGGCTTGAAATGAATGAAAACAGCTAAAACCAACCAGTCCTCCCCTCTGCAAATACCAACCACGGGAGAGTGCTGAGAGGGCTGCAAGTATCCTTAGCTGTTTGGACCTGCTCATCTGGCAGCCTTTACTGAAGAGGAAGTCTTTCTTCAGAAGCGGATGGAGCCCGGCGGTTCTGCAGTCCCTTTCATGTCCTCGCTCTGTCATTCCCTTTGTTTCACCTCAGCAGTGAGGCTGGGGTACCTGCCAGATGGAGCAGGGTGGCCTTCCCAGCAGAACTTCCTCTCCTTTACAGGCAAACTGGTAAGTGTCCCAATGCCAGCCCTTCACAACGCCGTCTCGCCCATGCAGACTTTGTACGGTGATTTCAATTTCCGGCATCTAAAATGGACAACAGCGTGTTATTTTAATCAGACAAATCTAAAACTACAGCAGTCTGAACAGAACCCAAATCTACCCGCATAACTAATGTAGGCAGCCCCAGTGAAAACCATGTTTCAGACAATTCCACCATTTCACCCAACTGGCAGATCAGAACGCACAGCTACAGTGTCAGCTCCTTCAAGATCACACCACAGATCAGTACCAGGCAAAACCACACTCCCAGTGCCCTCAAAACTCTGCGCAGTTTCTTCCTGCCCACTGCAATTCAGACAAATGGAATCAGAAGGTTATGTATCTCCCATACCTCTTTCTCACGTAGCAGTAGATGATAGCAAGTATCCCACTTGTCAGTATTCCCACACCAATTCCCACAGCAATGTAGCGTTCGTAAGAATTATGTGCATATGAGTTTAGTGTTAAGTGCTCACACCTCTCGCCATTGTAACCTGCAAGGCACCTACAAAATAAATATACACCGTGCAAAAATTATTCACAACTTCTTAGGCTCTGTATTTCTGAAACACATCCTGGTTTTCATCAGTTTTAACCCATTTAGAACAAGTCTAAATGAGGATGGACTGAATCTAGTGCTCGGTCAGCACTTCTTCACTCCACCAAGGCTACCAGTTGCCCCAGTTGATCTAGTTTAAAGCTAGCTCAAGTACTGCAGCCGCAGCAGCAAATGCAGCCCAAAAATACCCTCATCCTGGAGGGTGTGGATGAACAGCACTGTGCTCTGGTGATCCTTAGCTGCTATAATGTCTCCAAAGGCCAGAGCTGCCCAGCATGGACCCTCAAAAACGTTAAGGGCACCACAGTCCCAACTGGTGTGTAAGTAGTTGTGGAATAAGGGAGTTGCAGCTGACACCTTGGGAGATCCTTCTACCTTCATTGTGCCCACCGTGAAAATTTACTTATTCCTCTGCTACTGACTCCAGCACCAGTTGTGATTTGAGATGCCATCAAGGCAGTGACCTACAAAGCTGTGAATTTCCCTCTCCACTCGTTAGTACTACAGGAGCACAGCACCACTGCCTCGCTAACAGCCCTGAGCCACCACAGCACTCAATCCTCTGCCAAACTTTAAGCCTGCAAATACCCAACTGGCACTGGAAAGCTGCACTCTGCTGAAAATTACCCATTTACATTAATAATATGTAGCAGACCAAGAAACAATGCTACTGTTGTTATTTTCTATAAAGGATACTTATAAGCAGAATTCTTTACTTGCATATGGGTTTCCTCAGCTCGCTGTGGAACGCGCAGAGCCCGTTGATACAATAGCTGTGGTGTTCCTCCAGGCAGGTCTGCATAAGCTTCAGGAGCTTTGGCTGCTCTGTGTAGTCTACTGTGAAAGGGGAAAAAGTCATGTTATGTTTAGGAAAAAAACATCATTTGAATGCATTTTCAGAACTCAAGTTGAACAGATACTGCCTGCAGAAGACACTTAATTCGTAGATTTACTGTGATATCTCATGAGCAGATCCCAACACTACTAAGCAGACGGCTTTGAAGACGTCCCAGCATAGCTTTATAGAAAGCGCAAACTGTAAATAAATCACTCGCTCTTGAGAAGCATGTATAAAAGCCATGAAGACGTCCCAGCATAGCTTTATAGAAAGCACAAACTAAATAAACCACTCGCTCTTGAGAAGCGTGTATAGAAGCCACACTGTGATATCTCATGAGCAGATCCCAACACTACTAAGCAGACGGCTTTGAAGACGTCCCAGCATAGCTTTATAGAAAGCGCAAACTGTAAATAAATCACTCGCTCTTGAGAAGCATGTATAAAAGCCATTATGGGAGATTCATCCAGGGTAACATCAGCACTATCCAACCTGCAATCAATCACATCAACCGTCCCAGGAATATCAGGGGTTTAGGACTCAATGAGAGTACTGAATTATTCTCAGGATGCTTTGCATTTTGAATTCAAATTATTAGCTAATTCCTTTTAATTTTTCCCTACCACAAGACAAACTGCTGCATTTCTAACACTCCTGCTGCCAGCTCTGCAGCCACAAGTGAGCTCCCTCCATCCATTTTCCATTATGCTTGTAAGCACCCAAGACAGCTCAGATGCTCTTCCCGTGCAAAAGTATGGTCCACAACTACTAAGTTTCTGAACTTGCACAAAATTATATGTGTCTAGGCCAGTAAGCACGCTTCTGCTTGGAAAGCACAGAAAATGGCTACCTGATTCCCAACACGGCGGGTCAAATGGGAATAAAGGAGAAGTCCAAACTGTCCTTGGGGACCTCGTGCCAATGCTACATACCGACAGAAGAGCTCAGGAGCGAGGCACCCTGCTGTGTGAAGGAGTGAAGAAGCCTGCATCAATGTGTACCATGGAGCAGGGGTGCGGCAAGCCAAGAGAAAGCACAAAAGCTTCACCATCAAAGCAAGTATCTGTTTGAACCGGTCTCTCTACGCAGTTACAGGAATCACTGGTGGGGTGGGGTGTCCAAGCCATGTCTTACTATTTCAGGGGACTGCTGTAGTGATGGCTGAAGGTGATTTCCTCATCGAGCGTATGTCAACACCAGCTTTCAGTTATGACCACAAGAAAAATAACATCATGCAGGAAGGTGACAAGGTCTGCTCGGAGTGACTAAACAATGGTACAAGCAAGCAGAAACCTTCCTTTCTGACTAAGTGCTGAATCAAGGTCTGGAGATATTACACTGATGGAACCCTTGTCATAGATGTAAGCCTCCAGCTGTCCTATGGGCAGCTCGAGATCCCACGACACATTTTTCAGGAGTAGCACCACCAACCCCCTAAACTCCCCATCCAATTTGAGTCATTTAATGGCAGGAAGTCCCCGTGTGCTCAACTAAGCAATTTTTTCCTTTGGCCTTCATGCAGCTTCATGGCAGAGATGACAAGCAATGGCACCCAGCTGCTCTGCTCTACGCCTGCACGTTAGAGCAATTCACAACGTCAGCTCTGAATCCTGTGGTTTGGACACCTAAGAGGCACCACACTATCACTGTTACTCAGATCAAACACCACCACTTTGAAAATAGTGCCCTCTAATACCTGACAGAGTAATCAGACTTCCAGCTTATCAGCAGACTATAGAACAAATAACAATTCAAGTCTGCTTGAAAAAGAACATGTTGGTTTACTACACTATCTCGGGAAAAGCTACAGAGGTAGGAAACCAGCTCTGGCTCTTTTCTGACTGGCTCCGAGAACGCTGCTGAGAAGCTCCAGGGACAGGCTTGTTGGCTAAGAGCACAGTCAGCACAGGACCAGGCCTTGCAGGGACAGACCTAAGGAAGAGAAGAAGAACTTGAGAAAGGCCAGACTTCAGGAAGAAAAGACAGATTTAATGACAAGGGGCGGATGATACTATTTCCCACAGAGGAGGACTGTACGATGCTCACTGCTGGGGAAAGCACAAAGGAAAACAAAGCACCTGGTAAACAGGGCGTAGGGCCCAGCGTGCCGAGGAGACCCAGGCTGCAGGAGCTCATTTCCACTGAGGCCACAGCTCTGCAGGGAAGAGTCTCAGAAAACAGGCAACGCTTATTTTCATGCTTCCCCTGTGCCTCTCCTCAAACGCTTTGGCACCAACTGTTCCAAGTAATCACCAGTTCAGCCCAAAGGGCGTTGAACAGTGCACTGTGAAACCACTAAACACAACCACTCAACAGGGCCCTTAAATGTGTGTTTTCTGCAGCCAAAAGTACTACTCTTCTACCGAGCCCTGAGAAGATGTTTGCTGAACAGGTTTCATACTTCACTTGTGTCTCTGCCATACACAGTAATAAATAAACAAACAAACAAACAGACAAGGAAGGTACAATCTCCACGCCAGAGGCATGAAATCCCCAGCCAACTCTTCTCAAACTTCCAGCAGAGGGATTCAGGCAGCCAGAGCATCCTTCCCCATTGACCCCACCGTGCCGAGAGGTGGCAGCCTCTCACCTGCCACCACCTGGAAGAATCCTCCCCCGGTGCAGGTCGGAAACCTCTTCCCTGAGAGCCTGCAAGTCACTACTCTCCTTAGAAGAAAGGTGAGCCCCCGGCAGGAGCCCAGAGCAGAAGCCTGCCTAGAAAGCATTGCAGACAAATAATCTTGGCAACAAACGAACGCTGCTACACTCCTCCCTCACCAGGAGCAAGAGCTTTGTCCATTGTGGGTTGCAAGATGGGATCTTAAACAGACACACAAAAATTCTCAGCGCTAATTATTTTGACATTGCAAAAGTACAAACTACCTCTGAAAGAACGATGAGTCTAAAAAACAAAAAGAATTATTTTCTAACCCATCCCAGAGCATTATGCTAATTCATATCATATTATCCACCTAGATACTAAATAAGCTGTTGAATAAACACATCCATGTGCCCTTTCATGTCACGTGAGGGAAGAAAAGTACGCTGTGTAAGCACTTGACAGCTGCCTACAACTGAGTCATTCAAGCAGATACACTTGGCAAGATCTGACATGAAATCAAAACTACAGGTACTTGGAAGCCTGGGCATGCCAAAACCGACAGACCGGCAACAAAAAGAGTCAGCCACCGAGACCAGGCCAGCTCAGCCCTCGAGTATGGTGCGTTGGGGAGGAAAGTCACAAAGGGGAGGGAGGGAAGGGGTCAGCCCCAGGTCCAGGGCCTCCCTTTCCAGCTGCATGGAAGGAGCAGCTCATGGCCATGAAGGGATCTCATTTTTTCCCCAGTGAAACCACACCCTCCCCTACTCCCAGCTGCCCATTTTCCTATGAAGGCTCCCCTTCAGCCCAAACAGTGTCAGGGTTTCCTTATCCCTGCCATGCCAGCTCCCAGCCAGGCAGCATCTTCAGCCCCCTTCCCTCCCAGCTGACCACCCAGCCTGACAGTCCCCAGCCCCAGCCCGGTGACAAGTAAAGCCCATGTAACGCAAAATAAGGGAACAGGACATCATCTCATAAATAGGAGGCAAATGGACCGACCAGAAATTAATAGTTTTGCACAAACTGCACCTCAGTCCCCAGAGGACTCGCAATCCCACAAGAAACTGCCAGTTCCTCCAGTGATATGTAACCAGGAATTCATTTTCTTAGGATCCAGTATTACTGAACCTTGGTTATAAACCTTACTATAAATGTAACTTGCATAGGACTAGGTGCTACAAGAAACTTCAGAAAGACACAGCCATTTTTTTTGGTGACTTTTAAGCATTTCCTTTCAACCTTCTTTCTGGAAATGCTGTTTTCTAACTTTTCAGTGGCTTCATAAAAGGTCCACCACTTTTAATTACCCGTGTAAACATGTGTTTGTATGTTCCTGAATTTACTTCTTCCTTTGAGGGAAACACCCTCCCAACTAAAAGCACTGGTATCTAGTTGACTTGCAGAGCCACAGCTAGAGTAAAGGCAGATGGGACAATTACAGACGTGGCTGTGGCCCTCTAAATAAGCCTCTTATTTGTTCTCTTATTTGTTAAAACACGACCCGTAACTCCTGCTTTCTAGAAATAACACAAACAGGACACTTAACAGGTCACAAGGTATTTCTTCCTCACTATACTCCTGTTTGCTGTATGCAGCTCTGGAAGAACAGTGTCACAGACAAATCCACTGCACCGGACCACAGCGCTGCACTGCGAAACCAAACTGCTACAGTCAAAAATCAACATCTTCTTGACTTCACATACATATGTGTGCATATATATATTTTACATACATGTACATGAAACACACATGCATAATATATGTATGGACGAATGGATACCCTTACATATCTATAAGACTACCACCATGAGAAATTAGACAAAAGAAAAAAAACAACAAGCAAAGTTTGACTTGTTATGAGAAAAATAAAAAAAAACTTATGGACCTACTAAAGGAAGCTTGTAAGACATCCTGTGATGGCTTATAATTAAGAGAAGATGATTTGTATGCATGTTTATGTTCTTTTTAAAGTACAAAGACATTAATAAGTATCACAGTTAAAATCCTTTCCTCCTTTACTGACCTGCCAAAACCTCAGTTCCAGATTGTACAGTTCTCCAAAAGTAATGACATCATTAGCACCTGAAGTAACATCAAGAATGCAGCTTGCAGGATAAACACAGCGCTCTGGTCTCAGGTGTTGGCAGGGAAATAGCTTGAGTTCACATTTCAGTCAGAAAAGAGAAAGAAAGGAAAGAGAGCGGCAGTGCTCTGAAGAGGGCTGTGGAAGCTGTGATAGCCGAAAGCAGAACTGCAACAAAGAGAGAAACTACTGAGTAACAGCAACGAGAGGCATCACTTGGAGCTATGCTTCTGCTGTGCACAAAGATTCCCACTGCAGACAGCCAGAAACCATGCACTAGTTAAAAGTAACAGAACTGGCCATCAGAAAGGCAGATCATCTATCCCAATTAGCCTTAAAATACCTTCTTCAAATTAAACCTGACTTTGGATAAACGATCCTGTAGCTGAGCCTACCCCAGGTGAGTGGCAGCTGCTACTGCAGAAAGGTTTTTAACTCTCCATGAACAGAGCACCTCATCTCACAAATAAAACACAAAAAATTCAGTAGTGTCCAAGTGACCAGGAGCATTTTAGCAGCTATTATCATAATAGATTTTGTTGGGGTTTTTTGTTTTGGTTTTTTGTTTATTAAGCTCTAACTTAAAAACAGATACAAACAGAACAAAAAAAGAAATACCTTCAGCGTTGTTTTTGGTCCAATTATTCCATAAGTCTGTGCTGAGGGATGAAACAGTAACAGCTGACTCTTCACTCAGTGCCCCCATTGCTGTGTAATGCAAATAGATGCTTACTGTAACAGAAAAACTCAGTATATCTATTCAAGGTTCATTTCATCCAGAAAACATGTACCCACTTCATACAATTCTGATACGATGCAGCAATATAATAACTCCTTTACAATATTCTTGCCTCAAACTTTCTTTTCCCACAGCATAATTATGTTTGTAAGGAAATAAACTATTGCTTGCAAATTTCCAAAATACATATCCATGCTGTTCTCCACTCTATTATCTTATGCGATTTACGACACAGATACCTGTAACACACTACAGTGTTACACCTATTTACCAGTCTAAGCAGCTTCTTTTCAAAGAGTCTAAATGATACTCTATCAGTCAAAACTTCACCCAGGTTTTAAATTGCTGAAGTAATCCTGCTTTGCAATGCCTTTGCATGCTTCCCACCCCTGCCGCTTGTTTCAGAAAGAGTGAGCTATTGTTCAACAAAGCCCTGTACCTTGAAAAGCCTCCTCCAAACCTACCTTTCAGCAAAATATAGATGAGCATTCCAAATGCCATGGCAAGCAGCTGCTTTAACACCTCCTCAGCTCTTCTTTCCAGATGGCTCACTCGCTCTGCTTATCTGTGCTCCTGTGTTTTCTCTTGCACTTATATGCCACGAAGCGTCATCTGCTGTTCTCACCAATCAAAAAAAGGTGCATCTGGCAACAACCTCAAACCCCGGGGCAACCACACATTTATTTAGGAAACTGCTATTATCTAGCAATGGGATCAGATTTTCTTTTGAAACCCTGGTTTCCTATTACCTGTGGGCATAATTGTGCATGCAAAGATACAGTTTTGAAGAGAGAGCTGGAACCTGGCAGAGCAGATCAATGAAATACAGCAAAACACAAGTGAGCAAAATGAAAAGTGACGTTATTGTGAAAAGTGTGATCTTTCTTTCCCTTAGCAACATCGGTCTTGTGTTAATTCCAGAACAGCCAGCATGAGGATGCTGCTCTGGTGTTCAGGGCCCAGCCCCTGCTTTGCTCGTGTCCCTTCCTTGGTCCTCCCTGTACCTCAGCTCCCTGCCATCCAGAAGAGGAACTGGGAGAACTGCTGGTGCCGAGATTAGGAAGTGATCAGACACCAAGATAATGGACCATGTTCTCCATCAGTGACTGCCAGCAAGAGCCCTTTGATGACAGGCTCCAGCGAGCCCGAGGGGCATGCTAATCACTTTTCACCCAGCCTTCCCGTGCACATCTCTCTGCAGCAAGGCAGGCACCAGCCCTGCACTGGCCAGAGCTATGTGTGGGGCAGAAATCGAGGGCTGGCAAAACACAGGCACCAAGAAAACACAGACTGAAAGAGCAGGTAAGCTGTGGCTGCTCCATCAGTTGATCCCTTCGTTAGGCCCACCGCTGCACTGCCATAAAAGCCTATCGTTAACCTTCTCAAGGAACTGGGTGTGCATGAGAACAATCATACTTTTGACATAGAGTGTTTGTAGGTCTCCAAGACATACCTGTCACCCACATTTCTTAAACCACCCTCCACAGCCCCAAACAATGGCCAAATTCCTTGGTCACCAGCAGCTTGGAACAAGCAGGACTGGTCTCCCTGAAGGGTACTTACGCAGCCAGACATACGAGAGATCATCAGAAAGGCCCAGGTCAATAACCTACACACACATCGACAACCCGACTCTCTCTAAAGGAGAGCTACGCATTTCACCCCAGCAATAACTCGCGCTTTCTCAACCATGAGCTCCAAGCAACAAAAGCATTTCACAATTTTTATAATTTAAAACCAAAAATCTTCTGATAAATGCTGTAATAACTCCGGTCAGCTAAGTTCTCCCTCTACGCTGCGCTCTCCTCAGTGACCTGTAGGATTAAATCTAACCACTTCAGATGTTACGGGAAAAACACAAGCTCGTTAGGCACATTTTAATTATGGACTGCATTCCAGGAGGCTTTTCCCTTCCTTTGCTATCCAGAATTGCTGCATGCCTGCACACTGACCCAGTGCAGCTTGCGCACTCCCTGGGATCCACGGGAGTATTTGTGCCTACCTGGATAACCTCTGCCATCAGTCCCCAGCAGGGCTAAGTCTCATCAGCCTGGCTTTCAACACACGTCTACACAATGGCAGCTTAATCCGGCTTGAATCCGCGCAGTGGCTTCGTCATTAGGCAACGCAGCTGGGTGCGGCAGGCCTGGGAGAGGGCTCCGGAGGATGGGACTCTGCGTGCTTGGACCAGACCTGACCGGGTCTGGCACATGACCCTGCTTTTTGGGTCAGTAACAGGCCCTTCCCTCTGGATGCTCCTTCTGGAGGTTCTCCCAGCGGAGAAGGCTCTCACCGATGTGCCTGGCACCTCTGGAAATAGCATGTCCCTGAGTGAAACCTCCGTCTCGCTGGCTTTTGTGTAAGGCTAACCCATTCATCACAGGTGAAGAGAGAAAAAGCTTAAAGTGCACAATGAACTGCTTGCAGGACGTGAAAGAAGCAGGCTCCCTCAAGTGACGTAAGCAAAAAGCCATAAATTGTTATACTGACAAAAAAATGCAGATATGATTTAAGTTAAACCAAAGCAAACAAACATCAATCTGGAACAGCAATATAAACAGATGAAACAACGCAATGACCGGATATGCAAGAGACCTCCATTCCCTCCACTCTTCACACACAGATAAAAAAAGAAAATACACAACCACCCCCCAAACTGTATTAAAATTTTTCACCACGACTAACATGACAGTGAACAAGTTTTATTCCATCTTAGTCAATGATGGGTTGATCAGTCTAAGCATTATCTCCACAGGCACCTTCATCCTCCTAACATTCGTACTACTGCTGAAATTTAAACAGATAAGCAAGTGTCTGCATTATTGGCATTATATATTTAGTCATGATCCTGACCTCCTCTTCTGCAAACACTGCATTAAACACAACTCTCAGAAAGTCCATCACAAGGACAATCAGCAGAGCAGTGATGCTCCATCTTGTTTCTTCTATTGCAGTAAGCACATTTTTTTGTTTAATGGAAATAATATTTGGCCACAGTTTGTTTTTTTTCCTTCCCCTTTCAAGCAGCAAACACCCAAGGCTCTTGATGAAAATTAAAGTTATCCCAACTGAGACAAAAACATGAAGATAAAAGTCCAAACTGGCTCCCACTGGCTTCAGTGGGAATCAGGGTAGGCTCTTCATGCCAATATTACAGACACTCAGTTCAACTGCTCTGCTCCAACTTTTACATTGCATGAGAGTATTCTATATACATCTTTGTAACTAAAAGTTTTGGGAAAAGAAATGTACTGATCTTATTATCCCACACAGTCCTCTCTAAGCAGCAAAACACTGTAGCCAAGGATTCATAGGGCTGACTCCTACATCACAGACTGAATAAACCAAACCCTTCATGCAGTTTCAGAAAACAAAGAGAATAATTAAATGGCTGAAAATTCCAACACACACAGTAGTTTTACCTAAATTCTACCTAACTAAAGTCCAATCCAGCCCAGTCACCTTTTGTGGGATGAGGGTATTATGCACCAAAACATTTTGTCAAAGAAATCCACATGTGGAAATAAAAAAATTCTGGCCTCTATTCTAGCTACTTTTTCATGCATACACCTCTGGCATATGTTTAAGGTCAGCATTTCACCAGTGTTCAAGTTTACATGACTATTTTAAAACATGCCCTGAACATCTGTCTTCATGTCCATGTTACTGCCTGGCAGCTGAAACAAACATTTCAGTCCTTCACTCCTTTCAGATTGAACATTTTTGCTGCGATCTCTAAGTGTTTTAACAAAATAAATTCAAGATTTCAAACTACACCCGGAGTGCTTCACGACCTCAGAACCCAAACCATATTTTGAAAAGATATCTAGCATGCTGAAACTTAGTTTTTATACTGTTTGAAAGATGTGCTTAAAAGGTCTTGGTAACTGCACCCCATCCCCAGACACACAGGTATTGTTGTTATTCATGCTTCATTCTTCATTTTCACACACATAATTCACCACCACCAACATATCTGCATAGGCTGCATCCTCCAAATCATTTTTGCTCACAATAAGTCAGTAGGAGGTAAAACAAAGTATTTTAACATTTTGTAAACCATCAGGTTGACATGAAAAAATAAATACAATGTAGAAATAAATATCTTTGTAGTAAAAAATAAATGTTTTGTGTATCAATAAATAGAACAACTTGGATTCATCTTCGAAGGTAGCCCGCTTGCTCTAGTAAATGAGCTTTTTAGCAACTATGAGTGTGTTCTTCAGAAGCATTGCAACAGTCATAGGTCCTACCCCTCCCGGCACTGGAGTGATAAAGCCAGCCTTCTTCTTCACTTCTAAGAGAAAAGAGAAAAAGGTATTGACTAAGAATGTTTCCAAAAACTTTTATTTTTTCCTTCAATTGCTCACATATGCCTAACTGGCAATGAGCATAAAGGGCTGCGACTGGGCAAGCACTGGAGAATATGGGAGAAGTTAAGGCAGAAGTTGTATTACAGCCACGGCAGGGACAGGACACGGTCAGGACTGGGGCTGCAAGGTCTTTTTTCTTCATCTGAATATTATTAGGCAGGGGCTAGTTCTGGGGCTGGGTTTCACAACCTGTTTGAGCTGATCGACCTGCAGCAGGCTGCCCTGTCCTCACGGGAGCAACAGGCAGTCACAGGCCCTGTGGTCAGACACATGGTGCACCTTCAGTAGCCAGGGGACCTACAGAAGTGGGGATCTCATGCTGTAGGTAAAGAGATACCCCCTCTCTCCTCCCCCCAAACTGTGTGTGATGCAGGATACAGAGCAGGAGCCTGCTGAAACCATCCAAATCAACACCAGCAGAAGCTGTCACCCATTCAGCCTCTTTCCCCTGCTCCGGCTTGCAGCTTCCAACAAAGATATTCTACAATCAGAAAGGGGAACTTAAGAAAATGGCAGAGGGAGGAAGTACAGTTTCCTGGCAGATTCATTTTTGTGCTTTACAATACAAAGAACAAAACCTATTTTACCTTGAAGACAACTCTTATTTATCGTGGCAAAACTCCCATTGCAACTTCAGCCATAAACACTCCACTCCTCTAGAGAAGGCTTTTTTTTTTCCCTTCTTTTTTCCTCAAACCAGTAACACTCCACTCCTCCAGAGAAGGCTTTTTTTTTTCCCCTTCTTTTTTTCTCAAACCAGCGTCACTAGGGTGCCTATACTGAACTATGATTTGGAGGCACAAATCTTCCCGAAGTCTCATAAAGAAAGGAAACTCTTAGAGTTGAATTAGCTCCAACCACAAACCATGTCAGACTCTCCAAGGTCAGTACGCACCTTGAATGCTTGTGTTAAGTAAGAGGCAAATACGTACAGATATTTTTTAAGCATTTAACACCTGTCAGGTTAACCTCTTTGTAGGAGCAATTAATATAACGTAGCAATAAATCCTGACTTGATATTCTTATCTCCTGTTGCAAAATGCAAACAACTGGAATTGCAGGTTACTTGCAAAGGAATTACAAGCAACCGGCTGGGAACTCGTTGCATGACGAACTGTAATGAGCAGTTATTTGCTAATAATGGTTAGTCCAAACGGCACATTACTAACCTGATTACTACAGAGGTTTTTTTACTCAGGTGCAGCCACCATGAGAGGTTTTTTATTTGTTTGTTTGGGGTTTTTTTGCTTGCTTAGAAATAATTTCTTGAAAACTCACCCCCCACTTTTAAAAGCACAGTTTTTAAAAAGACAGAGACACATACCCTGGAGAAATCTGAGCAAGCCTAACTCTGACACGAGCACATGCATTTCCACTGAAGTCACTTCAGAACAGAATCTATACCTGGCTACGAGAAGAGCTCAATGGATGGAAAACTAGGCACCTTGATCTTGGAACAAAACAGATAAATACACTTAAAGCAGAGGCAAGGTATCTTGAACGCATGTGCTGCTTTACTGTTGAGAATAACAAGGTCTCACAAAAAGAAATATTAAAAGCGAATTTGAAAAGCTGCATATTGGGTTTTTTTTGGACAGAATATTCTTTGGATTTTAAAGGGGAGTAAGTGAAATAAAAAACCCCACTGCCTGAACTCCCCATGCCATAGGCCTAACAAAAGCAGCCACAGAAGTTAACAGCAAATACCTCACTGAACTGAAGAACAGAAGACTAAGCCTCATTGAGGACAGATGGCAATTACAACTGTGAGGGTTTTAACTCAGTTGACTGGCACCACCAGATACTGTTAAAATATTGGGAAAGGTAGACAAATTGCAGTGCATTTTTTCTTTTACATGTAAATTGTAACAAATTAAGATCTCATATGACAGTTATTCTTCATATTCTCAAACACAAATAATTTGTCTTTTTAATAGTTATACTATTTTGAACTACCTACCGTTTAAGATTGGTGTTTACGGTTAATACAGTTACTACAAATTTCCCAGATTAGTGTCATAATTATTGAAATGTACCCACATCTGAAGTAAACACAGTAATTAACATAGAAAATATCTTTGGCATTTTAAATTGAAATGTTTGTTTCCAAGGCAATGTTACATACCTCTTTTTGTGGTATTATTCAAACTACTCCTATCTTACTTACAAAGAGGTAGAACCCGCAACCGGACCGTGCCTTACCTAGGGAAAGCCTTCTCATGAGTATCACGTACAGCATTCATTGCCTCTGGTGTCAGGAGCCCTACTCAGCACCAAACACACAGCACACTGTTTTCACAGGTTGTTGGGGAATTTCTCTGCCCATACTCTATCATTATGGAAATCCCTGGGGGTCAGTGTGGCAGAAGACGTATTTCCTATCAGTTAGCATAAAACCACCCAGAGAGCTTATTCACAAGAGCTCATCCAGACTTTGAAACGCACAGCAGGTGCCTGTGTTGGGGAAACTACCATCTGATAAGTTCCCACTGTTAAGGGTAAATACAGATATGGTGAATGCAATTTTCCAAGACAAATACCAGCGACCAAAGGAGGAAAAGCAACCTGGCCCTCAAAAATGTAAATAGATTTTCCTTTCCTCGTGAAGTTCAGTAGGGCAAAGCCCAACTCTAAGATGGCACTTGAGTGTGACCCATCTCACGTCAGCAGGTAAGATGCTGCACTGTTGGTTCCTCCAGAAGGTCTTGTTTGTGCTCCTCAGCAAGAGCGTAACTTTCTCCCTGGCTGTAACTCCACTTTCTCAAGATGCCTGCTCTTCTCTCAGGCATCTCTCTGCCGATCTGGTACATGTTGGTATACAAATTAGGCGCCTATGGGGGAGGAGCTGCTCTTTTGCAGTTTCTGTAGAACCTTAAAATCTTCCTTTGATTCTTCAGAAGAAATGAAATGTAGATTGTTTCCTTGAAAAACAGGACCCACTGCTTTGGAAACAGCCCTTCATTCCTAGGTTCCTTTAAAGCTCAGGACATCAGACACCTAACAGGGTTAATCACACAAACCGCGGGCAAGTCTCAACCTGAAGGCAGTTCTGGGTCTTGTGCATCTGCATTAAGTGATGCAGAGTAACTCCTGCCTAAGCACTGCTTCCCCACAGCTTTATTACTCGCTGTAAAGCTCCCTGGGATCACTGCATCCCTGCAGCACCGCATGCGTGTGGATCACGTGCTCGGCAATCACGGCAGATATCCCACCTTCTGCTCTACAAATTCCAGGATTCTTCTCACCACGCACTGCGGGATTCCAACCAGCATCTATCCCATTTTGCACTGGTCCTTCTTTTTGATATTATCTCTGTTTCTCTTACTGCAGCTATCTTAACAGCAATAGAAAAGAAAACAAAGGAATTATGGCCTAGTACTGTAATGCTCATAGTGCATACATCTCTCCTCCTCCAGTACCCTGAAAAGCCAAGCAACAGAGCCAACTGGGGCAGAAAAATCCAGTATGCAATTAGGCACAACAGCTTCTTTGCAATCAGCTAATTAACACAGACAGGTGGATGGGCTATTGCTGTGGCCTTGGGATAATGAACAACGGCAGCCAAAATTCAAGATATCCAAGATATCCAAGATTACTTAGACCCCTGCAGGACATACTCTTCTGCAGAGGAGTACCTAGACTTGGCCATCCAGCAGCTTAATGCCACCAGTAAGGAATCAGTCCATCTGGCCTCCTGGTGGTCACAGACTTTTGCAGAGCAGCAATACAGTGACCAGTTTACACAGACTGGACTTTTATTAATTGCAAATGAATGCCAGGTCTTCAAAATCAACTGAGAAATTAACTGAAGCTATTGTAAAAGCAGCAGGAACATCCACATGTTTGGAAGAGCTGCCCAGAGAGGTAATTTGGATAGGATTCAACAATCCAAAGAGGACCCTACAGCCTGGAAGGTAACACAATGAATGCAAAGCTTCACCAAGCAACTGTCAGAAGCAACTGCTGTCACAAAGCCTGGATTTCCTACAAACAGTAGTTAAAATACACCATTGCCATTAAGAAACTGGATTCAAAGATTATCGTGGTCAACCTCTTAAATTACATGAACAAATGTCAAGAAACTTGTTAGCTTGCCCGATCACTCTGTAGTCATTAGTCCTGCAGCTGATGAAGACCGGATACACTTCCCTGGTTTTCATTCAGCTGATTCTTTCATTTTGGTACACTTGGTCTATCCAGAAGCAATACCTGGTCCATTCTTCACCTTAACAGCATTCAACATAGTTTCCCTGCATGCACTATGTACAGTATCCTTCACCCAAAGGAAATTCATACTAGAGGCCCATCATCCTTCACCACATCCACCACTGGCCGAGGGAGCCTTTTCTGCTGTTCAGTACTGGGAACCCCTCCCTGCTCCTGGTGGCACCCATTTTCCAGAATCTCTTACATTGCTGAGACTGTGCACGACAGACGAGTGGGGAGAACAATTCTCATTGATATACCCTCCACCGACACAACTGTATCACCTATGAAAGCCTTACATAAAGGATTTCTTTTCTATATAGGCATCCAATAAAGACTCTAAAACCAGCATCACCATCTTCTTGTCAAAGATGTGGGAAGAATCATTCAAGTTCTCCACACTTTGGTTTCATGGGCATTTCCAGTTCCAGTTTCAAAGGTTAGCTACTACATTGGCGTGTTACTACCCTGCTCTACCAGTCACTCCTGGAAATGGTGCTCCACCCAAAAAAGCTCCAGTTAAATGCTCTGTGTAAGTTGTTGCTTTACTTCGTGTTCCTGGTCCTTGTAGACCTCCTCCCCCCTTAGCATTATTGCTGTGGCAACAAAAGCCCTATAAAACAGGGCCAAGCACACCCACACATGCATTACCCTGCTCATAGAAACATGTCTCCCTTTCTGTGACTGAAACTTGCTGCCCGAAAGCAACTGAAGTGGTGCTGGCAATAATCTAAGGATGCCACCACTTCTCCTCCCTGTCACTTCACCCTCCCTCTTGTGGTTCCTGGAAGCTACAAAAGGGCCCCTCCCTGGACCATACATTTTGACAAACTCTTAACATAAATGGGGTTATATAAATGGAAGTACGCACAGACAGTTTAAGATGTCCTAGCAAGATCAGGCTGGGTACCTCAGCACTTCACAGCTGACCTTCTCCACTGTGCTTTCCTCTCCTGCTCTTTTAGATGCTCAATAAACTATTCTTGACAAAAATGATAATAATAAATTCCTTTTTTGACGTGGACATAGTTTGGAACGTCAAAATAAAGAGGATGTATGGGGATGGGGCAAATCACAAATACTGGTTAAAGACAGTCCATAATACAGCCTGGGATTTTTACCCAAAATGAACAGTTAAGCCTCACAAGCCCAGAGGAACCCCAATGCCACTGCTACCAAGCCAGCCATTATAGCACCCATAAAAGCGATATGCACAGCTCTGACACTGTTAAATTTCTGTAAGTAAACTAAGCATTTTTCTTCCTCATTTACTGAGTTTAAGAGACAGCCAAAGCATTTTCCCTGGCTGCCCAGCCCTCAGCCCGCTGCAGGGAGCGCTGTCAAGGGCAAGGTGTCTGGCTGCAGGGGACTACACACAACTCTGCTGCCTGCAGCAGAAACGGACAGGACTCAAACAAATGCAGATTTTTAGAACGGATTTCAAAACTTCAAAACTCATTTTTTGAGCAGCTATCAAATTCTCTCGGCCAGTGGTAGGAATTCTTTCCTCCAGGCATTTCTGACATTGAATTCAACAACGAACAATATTAAAAAAAAAAGTTTTGAAATGGCATCCTTTTGTTGTTCAAGAGATAAAAATAAACTTTAGTGTCTAGCCTAGCCCCTAGAGATTAGAGTATGGCATCCAAGTATTGCTAGGATATGACAACTGAATCAAAACAGTTTCCACCCATCTAATAAACTTAATTTCCACTACGGGAGATTTTCAGTCAGATGACCTGGTGAAGTAAGCCATTCCCATCTATTCCTTATAAATCAAATTTAACCTCTGATTGCCCAGCTAAACCTCTGCTCTCCCCACAACCACATTTTTCTACTTAAAAAAGTGGCTGATGAGATAATAGATATTGGTGGGCTACATGATGTTCAAGAGGTGCTGTATATGATGCCAGCCATTTATGTACCTAGCCTTAAACTGCAAAAATCATTTTTACTTAAGCTTAAATATAAATTCAGTCAAGTGATCAAAGGGAGGAAAAGAATAACATTAGTTGCTACCTGAATACACTAGCTTGTTCCATTTCCTAACTGCCAAATCAAATACTGCACAAGGGTGATTTACTTTTTTAGTATTCAGAACTGTATACATTGGGATGGTTTCTTTTTTTTGTTAGAGATTTAGTGAAACTTTCACCGATACCAATGAACCAACAACAATTTCCCTTTGGCAATGTACAGTGAAATGCTACTTGCAACTGTAGTGGCATAATCCAAGTTGAAGTTCCTCCCTCTTTTTTGGATCTTCCCTCCCCCCAGGTAAAATCCTGAGAACAACCCACAGCAGACATGACGAGACATATACAGCGCATTGCTGAAACTCTGAATCACGGCCTTGCCATTGAATCTACACCTATATTACATTCAGAAGGTATCGTCTTTAAAGAAAAACAAACAAAGAGGATACAATTTCATGTTTCTTAAAGTTATAGCTTTTTTCCTCCCACAGCTGCTAACGCAAACAAAAAAATCCTGAAAACTCTCTCAACTTTAGTTCTGAAACCAGAAAATATAAGCTTTTACTTGTGACAGTGTAAGAAGGATAACAAAATAAACAAAAAAAAATCAAATGTATTTAAAGTATTTTTCTACTGGAGCTCTATTGTACACGTACAGTTACACATTCCAAATGCCTGCCGAGACAATCACTTGGCTACACTCGTGCGGGTAATTTCATTGACTTTAACAGACAGGTATCATGTATGATAAGTAAAAGAAGCAGGAACTAAGGGAGTGATGTAATTACAAATACATACAGCTGGCTAGAAACGTTTTGAATATAATTAAGCTTTGAGACATTATGCCAGCCAAGATGTTAATAACTGTGAAAAAAACCTGTGGGTGATTTTCATACTTATCAAAATAAGGAACTGTAGAGAACCATTAATAATGTGGGGAAATGCTGTCTAAGCTTCCCACACTCAACTCTGCCAATAAGCTTTAATTTTCAACTGCAACAATCCTGCTATTCCAGTCTGGAGCTCCTCCAGAGCAGAGATATTTAATCAAGTTACATTGTGAACTCGCTCTGCAACACATTAAACATAAAAAGATCAATATGTAACATGAATTTTTATGCGTTAGGCTTGCTTGGACCAAGATTTTCAACAGCTTAAGACGAACCCACGTTAAACTTTAGCATAAAGGATACTTCTAAAGCAGAATGAAGATTTTCACATACAAGTGTAGAGTGAGAGCACAAAAGGAAGCTTGAGCAGGTGTGGTATAATAATTTTTGGTAGGAACAGTGGGAGACCCTGCACTTGCGAAACAGCAGAAACTGTTTTCATTGCTTACTCTTGAAACACTTCACAGACTCACAAAGGATTAAAGAAACCTGGGGACAAGAGCCTTCTGCAACCTCACTGCTCTAACAGCTCATCTGCATCTCTTAAAGGTTGCTAGGATGTGTAATCAAAAGTAACACTTCCTCTCTTAAATAACATACCACTTCTTAAGGGCAGATATACAAACATAAAGCTTGTTTTCTCATTTAAGTAAATTAGAAAAAAATCCTGCAAGCGTTATCTCATTTGAGACACTGGCTATTCCAAGTGTTTATCATGAATGAATCCCCCAAACTTAATATTTTTATCCAACAGGTTCATATAAAGAGTGATTCACTGACCTTCAAAGTCCACATCCCCAACTAATTTGGTCTTTCCTGTAAGAGGATCGTGGATATGGTTGATGCCTACGTCAATCACAGCTGCACCTTCTTTTACCATATCAGTTGTAATCAACTTTGGGATACCTGGAATCATCAAGGTATATTTGATTAATATGGCGAGGTAGTCTCAGGTCATCAGTTTCACATTATATCAAGGGGTGTACACACACGTGTATGTATGCACAAAACCGAAGGTTATTCTTTCACTTGGTCTTGATACATCACACTCAGAAAACAAATTATTCCTCAGTTTCACAGTGTCTGTAATTATAAAAAGAAAAGGTGATATTTGTTCATTTTGACTAAATATTCTTAGCTAAACCGGCGGTCACACAGTCACCAACCTCAGTGAAGGAGGCTGATCACAAACCTTGCTGATTTGTGGCAGTAAGTCCTTTCCATAGCATTTCCAAAGGAAGGCTGGATGATAAAGATGTTCTGTGAGCTACAAGAAACTGTGTGTATTGTCAGGGGGCTGCTGATCCAGAAGCGTTGTCAACTGCTGAAGCAAGCTGTGTATGTTACCTCCACAGCATTTTCTTGAATCTTTCTCTTTGTAACACCTGTATTGGATATGTGTTACTCTTGACTTCTCCGATTTCTCATATACTGTACTTGTTAGCTGCATGACATTTCAAGCAGTCACTTAAATAATCAACATGAACTGCATGAAATACCACTGCTACAAAAAAACCCCCACCAAAATATATATGCTAGCATGGTGAGCAAATCTGTCTTATCCTGCTTTCTTATTTTAGATTCCTGTCATTCGTAAGCAATAGATAGACAACAAGAAAAAATAAAATGGACAGCTTGGATTTAGCCATCATAAACAGCATCAGCTCAATCTGTGGAATAGAAGCAACTGCCTTTCAAGTAAAACTTTCTCCACCTGATCTTCTCATGAGCGAGCAAGAAAAACATACTAGATAGAAATCCAGCTGGGTGATTGTACCCAGGCAAGAGGCTCCACTGGTACTTTATCAAAACAAAATGGTGTGCAGAAGGAGCACCACAAGGGCCAGGTGTTTGTTTACAATGTCAATGGCACGATGGTAGGGATCAGTTATTATCTACAAGTGGCATAAGGCTCAGATGGCACAAAACTGGAAGGAACTTTAAAGAGATTAGCTTAGATTTCAAGTGCCACCGGAAAAAAGGAACAAAGGATCAAAACGCATTTGACCTTGAACAGAAGAAGGAAAGACACCACATTTACATACACTTAATTACCCCTCATAAAGGCAAGACAGCAAACAACTGGTAAGGCAGTGATTTTTTAGAAAAAGAATTTGAGATTAGATCCGCTAAACACAAACTGACATAATTGTGCTACTGCAAGACACACACAGTGTCCTGACCTTTCACAGGGGAGCTTCAACAAAACACCTTGTCCTGCTATTTATAGCAAATTGGGAGACCCCCCCGGCTTGACCAAGGAGGGCCTGGTCTCAGTGTCCCCAGGTTTGATTTTTTTGCTATTAAAAAACCCCAGCTAACACAGCGATGTGACAAGCCATCTCAGCTCTATCATAGGCACCATATTTCTTCAGTGCAGTTAAATGTAAAGCATCTTGATATTCATCATGAAGATGTTCAACAGTCAGTACCGAGAAAACCTAAAAGGTCACTTCAGGTTCCAGACTAAGAGCTGAGTCAATGGCTCTATGTTTCCAGTCAGCAGAGCTGAGCTATCTATATACATAGCAAGAGACATCAAAACAGTTATTTAGGTATTGAAGCAACTGAAGTACAAAAGCGACAACTGAATTACAGACAAAATCTGACCTGGGTCCTACTGAAGGGGAGGGGGGCAAACCACCATTTTCTAAGGCAGTAGTCCTGGACAAGTTAATGTCTTCCTCTTTGTGAGGATCACTGCTGCACGGGATTTCAAACTGCAGGTAGCACCACACATGTACTTTGAGGAGCTCAATCTCACCCAGCTACCCCAGTGTGCTGAAGCTAGAGGTGAGACTTCTATGGGACGCCAACAGAATGACAGAATTCAGCTCCACTCAGTGCACAGGAAGACCTCCCCTTTCAAGAACAGCAGCTCAGTAGGATCCCACTTTGCAGAGAGCAGTTTTAATTACAGGCAAGGCCATCTTAGAACAAACATACTAGTGCTGCTTCACAAACAGCAGCATCATGTGTGACCAGACATCTGAAAGTTTACACCTGGAGAGTCACAACAAATGAAGCATCTCCTGGAATGTTAAGGCAAAGCAGTATCTGAGACCAAAGTCACTGCGTGCTATCAGAGAGCCAAGAATACACATTATCTGCATTAGCATATTATACCTTAATTGTAACAGCAGCAACCTCTTCTCTGTATTCACTTTAAATGACTTTCTAGATTTCTTTCCTACCATGCAACCTGCAACTTTGAGTGACAGGGAATTCCAACTTTAGAATTACAGTTCCCCTTGCTTCTTGAGCAATTCCCCCCAGTTCTACATTCTGTGAGCAATGTTGATCCTAGTAACAGAGTATCTCCAAGGGGGGAGTTTAAGCTCCCCTCTCCCCACCAAAGCAGCTTTTTCTCAGGTGGAGAGATGAAAAAAAGTGGGAAAGAAAGCAAATCCCTACGGTTTGAGACTGTAGATTTATTGGATGCAAGCCCTGGTATACAAGGGCTTTGGCTTCATTTAAAGTGCTGGATCACAGCCAGTTAATCATTTAGATACAGGCAATACAAGAACCTTCTTTGCTCTCCATTTCTCACTCCCCCATAGGACACAAGCTTGAAACTCTGCTTCTGATGTTGAGCAAGCCAAGACCTCAAATTCTTTCCTATGCCATTTGATAACATCTGGCTGCATCTACTTCATCGCAGCCTTATGCAATCAGCTGCAAGCTGGCTGGTAATTGGATAATGCCTCAGCCTTATGGGGGTAAATGATCTGGGTGCGATAGGAATGGAAGCATATTAACGGAAGCTGCACAGTTACACCCTTTGTAAAATGGTTTGATAATAGGCCAAATACTTAATAGCAACAAATAAACTAACCCCCAAACCAAATGAGCAGATCTATTTACTCAAGCCTGCTTTACATACCGAGTAGGAAGAGATAAGCATTCGAGCAGCTATTCCTAAAATGCACTGACTGAAGAATGTGGGAAAATCTTTCATCGGTAATTTTTGTAGAAAACAATGAATCACATTTTAAACAACAGAGAAACAAAGCTACCTAATCCCGGTCGGTAATTTTTGTAGAAAACAATGAATCACAACAGAGAAACAAAGCTACCTAATCCCAGCTTAGGCACAAGGACTGTAAAATAGCCAACTCCCGAGAGAGCTAGCCAGCCACTATCTGAATAAAAGGGTCTGACAAATCAGCAGTTCCTATACAAGAGGACCACAGATCATGCCCCGAGGGGCAACAACAGAGAAACAAAGCTACCTAATCCCGGTTTAGGCACAAGGACTGTAAAATAGCCAACTCCCGAGAGAGCTAGCCAGCCACTATCTGAATAAAAGGGTCTGACAAATCAGCAGTTCCTATACAAGAGGACCACAGATCATGCCCTGAGGGGCAGCACAAGTAGTCCCAGAAGAATTTCACCTGGCATTTGGCACCCCTGCTCCTTCTCCTCTTTACCCCTCTCCAAAGCTAGCAGGCAGAAGAGTCTTTTCTCTCCAGGCAGACTGGAAAGCCAAGACAGCAGAAGCCTCCCTCACCACCCTGGGAGTACTGTGTGGCCATACATGCACCACACCTAAAGCTGCACTTTTTCTTCTACTACAGGCCCAGGCTAATGACAAAAAGAACAGACTCAGTGGGATGCCTGTATAGGCAGGGATAGCAGGCAAAGTAAGGAAAGGCTACGGTGGGATGTGAAGTGTTGCGTGTGCTTAGGAGAAAATATTATGCTTTGGCTAGAAATGCAAAAGCTGCGTGGTATGGAAAGAGTTTAGGAAGCTCCACCTGGCAGCAGAGACACAGATTTTAGGGAGGGGTAGGCTGGACAAGAGCAGCATTGTTGGAACTTATGATGCAAGGAGTTGGGAGGGAATGAGAGGGAAGGAATAAGCTGCATGGATAGTTACAACCCAAGTAAGCAGGAAAACTGGGGTCCCAAGGCTGGGAGCGAATGAGAGAAAACATATGAAGATGGGTATTCTCAAACTCAAGAGTAAAACCAGAAGCACCTGATTTGAAGCAATAGGAAAGCCATGAATGCAAGTGAACAGGAAACTCCTCAGAGACAGGGTACCACATCAGAATGAACAGACTCACTGCAACAAGCCACCAAACCAGGAGCCAGAACACAGATGCTCTTCTAAAAGTACTACGTGGTAAGAGGAGAATGAGAATAGGGATCTTGCTCCTACCTGAAGACACACACCAAAAGCTGTTTTCCATTTGCATATCTTATGACAGCTGCTGTTTCTACCTGGCAGGGTAGAAGTTAGCTTTTTTGCAACACTCACTGAACAGGTCGCACATTTCTGGGGACTGTGTGATCCCAAAGGTACAATGTGCACTGTTCTCAAGTAACAAGGGGATCCTTGGAGGGATTCCACCTTTCTGAAGTGTAATCTTCCCCAGAGCATCCACTGGGGCAGGGCTGCACACTGTTTGCACAATCTAGCCCTAGTTTTTTCATCATTCCAAGTATATGTCATGTTGTGTAATGAGTGTTGTATCATGCTCCTCTTACAAATGACAAAGGGAAAATAATGTGAAGAGCAAACACAGCTGAATTGCTACTGAACCGTTTAACTACAAGCATAAGTGATGACAAACTGTGTTCAGCATAAAAATCGGAAGTGATGATTAAATTGGAAGTAGTGAATTTGGATGAAAAGTTACTAGTTTATTTCCAATTAGCGCACATATTATTACTTTTCATTCACAGCGCGCGAATTCTGGTCAGGCCCACAGCTGAGTAACCACATGTGGGACAAGTGGGCTGTTTCTTGTTGCTGACCTAGCATGAGAAAGAGATAGTGCAGTTAAGCCCTGAAGCAAAGGACATCTCATTTCAACAGGAAGTGATGAGCTTTAGACAAGTATCTATCTGTCTTCGTCTAGAAAATAAGTTAGCAAGACTTTGCTCTTGAGGATGAGGAAGAGGGAGGAAGGGAGCAGAAAAGACATAATTCTCTTGTTGTCCTCCAAAACGATATGAGAGGAGGAGGAGGATATTCTCAGCTGTGGGGGAACCAGAATTTTACCAAGTTTTTTAGTAAGTTGGAGTGTTTGGTTTTGTTTTTTTAAATTAATTTATATTTCTATTTATAATACCTGTAAACAAAACCCAGAGGTCGCTCAGAAGCAGTTCTGCTTGTTTCTTTGTTCTAGGCTAGTCAAACTGCAAGTATTTCACTCTACAGTGCTTTAAGAATACAGACTCTAATCTTCCTCCAGGCAATTACCATTCTCTCCCTCTTTACTCGATAATTTTAAAAGAAAAAAATAAAATAAAAATCCAGCCATTAATAATGTATGTTATCAAAACTACCCGACAATTTGGCAAGGTTGCCCTTAATTCTAACAGCAAGGGAATGATACCATTGTTTTATGAATGCAGCCTCCAGCTGATTTACAGAAACCTTTCTGTCAAAATTTAATGACTCATGATTTTTGCACTGCAGAGAGAACGTTTTAATTTACATAATTATACCTGTATAAACTATGCACTGACTGGTTCCCAATCTTGAGTTCACTCTAAAGTCTCCCTAAGGGAAAGGTGTCACATGTGACGAGAAACAGTTTATGAGTCTGCAAATGTGAAGGGCAAGAACAAAGAGCCAAACCACTTGCCCTTCTTACAACAAGGAATCCTACTGACTGCAACGCTCTCAGCAAGCACAAGCACCGATTATTGGGTGAAATGTGAAAGAGCCAGTGGTGCCACCAACAAAGTTTACTTTTTAAGTTTTAAACACCATGATTGGAGTATTAACAGCAACCAGTATTACCTGCAGCTACTATTACAATGTCAGCGAGTTGTGTATGGATCTTGAGCTGCTCTTTCGGTGTGTATCTGTGAGTAATGGTCACTGTAGCATCACCTGAAATGAGATTATCAATTAATTGCCACATATAAAATGCTTGTATAGCATTTACTTTGAGGTGCAGAGGACTTACTTTGATACATTAACAGCAGTACAGATCATGAGCAGATTTGTCTCGCGATGCATCATTTAGGCAGAACGCTCACAGCACTTGCTGCTCACACATAGGAAAGAAAGCTTACTCTTAAACTTACTCCTGAATCAGCTGCATTACGCTGAGTGGAATTACACAGGACAAACCCAGCATGGAATCCTGTGGCTACCTGATTAAGCACAATTTGTACAGTGTGCCACAGGACTCAGTTGTTTGTCACAAACTAAAGCGTCGAGTACAAGATCACCACGTTCAGATCTCTGTGCTCAATCCTGTTTATTGTTCACCTGTCTTGAAGCTCCCCAGATGCCTCCCTTGACATTGCTGTATAGACAGGAAGGAAGTTGACAGTCTTCCCTGTACCTGTGACCTAACTCCATAACAGCATTTCCTTTGAATCAAAGTTTAGTCTTTGGCCCATGTTTTTGACAGATTTTGAGTGCTCAAGGAATAATCGGTAATACAAGTTCAGCAAAGGGGCACTTTTCTTACTGATATTCCCCCTCTCAAGAATTAACACAGTTGATAACCTGGCCAACAACTGGAGATGACAACTGCAGCTCTTCTCTTTGTAGAGCCTGATATCGTAGGGAATAAGACTTGTACCTATGGCAACAAGGATGCCAAGGGCCTTTGCTTAGAAACCCTGCTGATCAATAACAGCATGCAAGGGCCAGAGAGCAAAACCCCTCTCTTGACTGGAACAGTACCAGGTTTCATCAAGGAGAGGCATTCTTGAACACAATCAACAACAGCACCAGTATTAACAAAATTCCAATTGGATGGAGCTGAGAATGTTTGTTACCATAACCACTTAAGGGATCAATACATCCAGTGCATATATATTTTTCCACACACTCAAAGCATTCCAAGTCATCATTTTATGTAGCTTAAGTGCAACAACAGGAATGGAAAAGACTGGACAAACAGGTGCTCAAATTTTTGCAGGTGTCCTACCATCTCTTGTATCTCCCAATAAAAGAAAAACAACTGAACTCTTACATCACACCAGAGTAGGAAGTGCTTGAAGTTCTCACAAACGGAAGCACACATCCTTATGGGCAAACTCAAAAGCTATGGGGCCTGCTCCTGCACGTATCCACGTTGCTTGGCAAGAAGCTACAAATAAACCCTCCTAGTAAGACATGAAAAACCTTGTGCTGTTTGATGGAGATGCTGAGGAGCAGCCACTACACACAAAGTGAATTGTCACGGGGACAGGGACTGAAGGGACTGATGGTAATGCATCCAATAGCAAGCACAGTGATCCCTCAAGGACTGCCCAAGAAAACAGCAAAGATAACAGCTATCAAAGGAGACTCCTCCCAACACTCTCCCTGTCAACTATTTGTACTGCACAAGTGTTCAGGTGTTACATCCCTTCGTCTCCACCTTCCACTCATCAGAGACTCTTAAGCCACATTACGAACCATTAAACTAAAAGTTTTTGCCATCTCAGATGTTAACACCACATCTGCTTCCTCTGGAATGTGTCTGACTGATCTAATCTGTGCCTCCAATCTCATTAACTCTCTTCCTAAGGATCTCATCTTCAACACGTCTGTGCTCTGACTTCTGTGCTCTTTCCCCTCACCTTTGATCCCTCTTCTCCTTCAGTCTCTACAGCGCATATCTCTCCTCAAAGAGAAGAGGATCAAGACAGTTTCAGATAATGAGAACAGAAAAGTACAGATGTGCACAAGCAATTCCATGAAAGAAGGGGAATTTCCAGCAGTTACAAGTCTTTCACCAACTTTCTACAAGTTCCCATGAATTTAAGTGCAAAACTTGCCTTGCCCAAAATCACAATCATTACTTCCAAAAATATATACATAATGAGATTCTTTTGATCTCTTATCATGTGCCCAACAGATAGGCTGAGAAAAACAATGGATAAAATTCAAAGTTACAAATATTCACACCTTCTGAGAAAGATTTTAGTGAAGAACGTGTCTGTAGTCAGCTCCTGAAACCAAGTAACTGCTCTCACTATCAAAAAGAAAAGGAGAGAAAAGAAGGGGAAAAAACCCAACCCCAAACTCCCTACCTTCAGAATAGCAGTCCAGAAGCCTACAGACACAGATGAAAGGGTAGCTTTTCCATTTATTTGTGATCATGCCAAAAAAGAAAACAAACAACTATTTTTACACTGTTATTTCTGCTGAAAGAAGAGGAATACATCTAGCAATTAAGATTCCATATGATACCACTGAGACAATTCACTAGCTTATAAAATAGAGACAGTCTCTTGACCTGTCTACACAAAACACATTTGTTTTGTAAAGTTCAGTTTTCCAATCTGATCAGATATTGCCACCTGCAGGACATGATGGTTTCTACACAAAACATCACAGATGAAGACAGATCCCAGCTTTTCAGTTTTCTTTATAATCTGTAAATAAAAATAACAACTAAAACCTAGAATAAAAAGAAATAATAGTATCACACCTCTCTCCTTGCATCACTTCTCAATAAAAGTTATTTAATCAAACCAGCCCAATTGCTGATAAAACCCTATGCTCACTGATAACCTGAGAAAATTTTTTCACCCCTTAACTGTAGGTCTTGTCTGGTCCCCATGCCCCTGAAAAAAAAAAGAAAAAAAAAGAAAAAAGCTTCCACTTAATTTCCACTGACAGGTTTAAGTTGTTCAAAATATGCTCTTAAGAAGAAAGCCTGCCTTTTTTTGGTAAGAAATAAAATTAGCAACTCTGACATGTAATTTTCAACTCCAAAACCCACTTCATCTAGAAACTTAGCTGACTTGCTAAAGCTACCTCATCTCATACCCTGACAGACGTCTCTGATCACAACGAACAAGTTTTGCCCTGCTATTAGCCAATACAAAAACAGGTGGAAAGTATTAGTCCATCTAAGCTATAATTTTTATTATATTCACATTTCCAATCTTTTCTTGAACTCCACCTCCTTGATATCGTCGTACTTTTGCTTTACGCATTCTCTTTCACTGCCTATCTCAGCTTTATCTCAACTGCCTTCAGCTCCTTCTCTGCCATAATACATCCAGAAATTCTGATGACCACTGAGGTAAAGATAAAAGCAGCATCTAAACTGCCTTCCCCCCGATGCCATCCAGGCTAGCCTCTTGTTGCTCAGAGCAGAATCAGAAAAGAAAGATAACTGCAGAAGACCAACCAGAAGTTCAAGGACAGCCCAATCTGTGAGTCAGGAATGAAAACTACACTAGACTACACAACTATGAGAGTATTTATCACCATGTACACAACTAATATATACTTAATGCTAATTTATTGTGAAAGAAGTACAAATGTTCCTTTGTTTTCTCATTGACAGGTGCTTTATACTGTATAATGCCACTTGGCAAATTGGAAAAAAAAGAATAAGTACCTTAAAAATAAACCCATTTCTTCAATGAGTTAATTCAGTGTCACTGTTGGTAAGGGAATATTCGAACATTTTTCTGTCCCCACATAGAATACTTGACATACATAGCATCAGTGACAGCACCAGCAAACAGGGCTGCTGCTGAAGTAATACGTATTATGTCGGGAGTCAGAACACAGTCAGGTAGGCAGATGACCATGAAGCACAACAAAGTTCTTTCACAGGCCAAAAAATTCATGGCCAACCTCCAAAATGATACAAACACCCCCAAAAAACCAAGTCATACTACAGACAGTCAAATAAGAGCTAGAAGCCCAAGAATCAAGTGAAAAAAAAGCTGAGCCATGGATCCAACTAACTCAAAAGCTGAAAGCTATAAGACAGTGTTTAGTTACACCTAAAAAAACTTCCATTCAACTACGCTGGGTTTCGTAACAAGTTGCTGAAAGAATCACAGGTCACTAAGTCTCCCCATTTCCAACTGAGAAGCATGCAAGTAGTTTGCAACAGACCTCTGTGTTGTTTACAGTCTATTTCAAAAACTGAACTGCACTGCCAGTAGTATAACCTAATATTTGCAGCAAATGGCAGAAATGCTACTAATTTTCATGGGAATGGGGATGAGACCAGAACTATGCACTGATGGTAATTACAATTCAAACACTGAGAAAAGTTTCAAATAGCAACTTTCCCACAGAGACTGAATGGAAACACCAACTCTATGATTAGTAAGAAGCTTTTACTGTTTTATTATATTAATAACAGATTTCACTCCACTCCTATTACATATGCCTGGGATTAAACATTCATGTTTACCTCGTTTGTGCACACCACCATGGCAGTTTCCAACATCAAAATGAACTTGCAGAAGGACAGTACTCTATTTAAATCATATTTGTTTTTCTTTCTACAGCACAATTATAGGAGCACATGCATGCTTCTGTAATTAGAATTACTTAAAAATATTTCCATTACAACCCCCAATTTCCAGGGGCATATAAACTGCACTGCAGAAAAATCCCCCAGGCCAGCATGTACTATCATAGAGCTCACATGGAAAAGTTGGTGGTCATTTAGACATTTTCATAATAACCACCTAACTAACATATATATATGTGTATGTATGCATATATATATATCTGCGTGCACATGTATGCGTATGAAAAACTTGAAATTAATAGTAAGCATGAGCATCAGGCATAAAGCTATATTATTTATTACTTTGTATAAACATCACATGAACCTCTGTAGTTCTTTAAGGCCACACCATCAGGTAATACCCTCAACGTTCAGCGCTAACCATGTTTAAACAGTAGCTGTCTCAAATGGAAGACAAAATAATGGCATAACACCAGAAAAAGTTGACTCCAGAAACTGCTCTAGAGAGAATATGTCAGGAAATAGATTAGCAAGTTTATTTCCCTTCTCCAGTCACAAACACTGTACAAGAGACAAAAGCTTTCTCTTTTTATCTGAATCCTCTGGTCAGCTTTATTTTGATGATTTCACAAATGGATACTTTAGAATAACACTCATGGACTTACCTCCAGGCCTTTCATGCTCTCCATCAGTATGTAAAAGCATTGAAATAGGCATTCCAACATTCTTAGATCTTCCAGCTACAACAACATTTTTTCCAAATGTTTGTATTCCTTATAGAAGAAAAAAAAAAGGAATTTTTTTTTTCAAACAATTGTATTCCACTATTTTGATATACCTAAACCCTTCCTCTTAATCCCCAAGATATAATTATTTGCTGTTGTGGACCGATGACATCCACACAACTTGAAAAATGCACATGGCTGAACTTGAGGAATGAATCCACAAAACAACTTTCAGCTTTCACCTTAAAGAAACAAAACTGGCAACTCATTCAGGTTGTTTGATTCACCCTTTGGAGAGACTTAATTTCTCTTCTCTGACAACCAAGGGAAATGGAAGCCCTTATATCTACCAATAAGAACATGTATATTACACTAATAAAATGACAACTATTGAACACACATGCTTTCTTCTCCCCTTCTAGTACTGAATTAAATGTTCCCAGTTTTGTTCTTGTTCCTTCCCCTTCCACCACAGGAGCTTAGGCATTCAAATCTTGTATTTGATAAATAATCAGGAGTTCAGCAACATCACAGAAAATTCCTCACAACATTATCAAATGGAGAAAATAAGTTACCAAAGTTGTTTCACCAAGTATTCTACGTGGACTACTGTCTACACTTAATTAATAGTTCTGCTACTGGCAAAAGATCTCATCTATTTGGCACCTCCTCATTATTTAGATTAATCCTCTAAACGTTTGTTCTTCAATCTGCCCAATCCATTTAGATAACCTACGCCTTTTAACTCACACCTGACTTAATCCTTCATTCATCTCCTGAGATAAAAGAGTTTCAATACAGTTCAGCTTCTTACCTGTCCGTTTTATGATCTCCCACACGGCAGCAGCAGTGGCAGGTATGACAGAAGGCTGATCGAGACACAGACGTCCGATATTCAGGATATGGAACCCATCCACATCCTTCTCAGGTGCGATAGCGTTACAAACTGTCCGTTCATCTATGTGATCTAGGAAACACATTGCTTTCAAATTACAGCTCTTTCCTTTGTCAGGTGTCATCAATTCTATCTGAATCATTAACACAGAAAAACACACGAGTTTGGTCTAGCTGGGGTAATTATTATTACTCATTATGAATAAACTACACTCTCCCTCTAACGGCAGCAGTCACAGCTTCACCTTTTGAAGTCATCTACTAACACTTCAATGATTCAGTTTGTGACACTGCTAATACAACAGACTAAAATCAAAATACGAGAGGCTGATACTCAGCTGAGAATGACGACTTGGTAACTATAAAAATAAACATTTAAGCAAGACATTTCAGAGTCTCTTTTGTATTCTGGAAGTGTTAACTATCAAGTGACTCAAGAAAAAAAATAGGAAAAAACTTATTGTGCACGTTACCTGTTTGTAAGATCACAAAGGATACAAAACCTAAGTTTTAAACAAATGTATGGAAACCCTAAGCTGAAATAACTTTGCAGGTCTAGCTTTCATTTGCCTTTTTACAACAATACAACTGTTTTTAGTAATTTGCTAATCAGCAGGACTAAAACATATCCCACTTCATTGGAGAACTGTGAGAATGCACAAAATTGTTCGATATTGACGAGCTCAAAACACCAAGTATGCCTTAAATGACAATACCTGCACATAATTTATTATTATCTATTTGTACACAACATTTTTCATATGCACTATTGATATCAGATAGGTCTGCAACTGTTTAAAGCTTATACTGCATAAACATTGGTACTGATTAGGAAAAAAAATATGCAATGGCCAGTCCTACCTTCTCCTACCTCAGAGTTACAAACCCAAGGTTAAGACACTCCAGAGGAACAGCTCTACAAAACATCCCCACATGACCCAGAAAGCAAACTTGGTTTAATAAATGTATTTACTCAGTGGTAACCTCAGTCACAATTTTAGAATCAAAAATTGTTTGGGTTAGAAGGGACCTTTAAAAGGTTCTCTCCTCCAACCCCCCTGCCATGAGCAAGGATATCTTAGTCTTCACTGTTTAATAAGGACTCAAATTGCTTCTAGGATTACACCTCCAGCTTTTCCTTCACAGAGTGATTATTTTTGCACCTTTTATATAACGCTACAACACTCATTCTATGCTAGATTCTGTGACTGTGAGAACACATAACTTAATGTTCAATTCCATGAGCACAACAGGATGTTTAAAAAAGCCAAATAAAGAGAAATTAATGTTGATTACAAAATTCAGACATTCCAAGTAATTCATAGACATATATAGGATATATAGGCTGTTTGAATTTAGTAGTCAACTTGCTCTACTTAGGTATTTTTTGATTTTGCTCTAACAGGAGGAAGCTAATCAAAAGACATCACACACATTATAAAACAGGGTGATCTCTTGTTAAAAGATTTCCAATTAAAAAGAAACCCTAGAGTTAAACCAGACTGTTACAATTCACAATTTAATTCTCCATATTCTGATGGGAGGAAGTTTCCTTTTGAATGCTAATGAGAAAGGTCTGTGGAAATTAAGATGTTAAGTACATTGATGGAAGAGTCTCTTAGAATTCAAACTAGCCTAGTCCAGATTGAAGGCAACCATCACCTTATTTTTATGTTAACTTGGGGAATAAAAAAAAAGAAAAAAAAAAAAAAAAAAAGAAATTTGGAGTAACCTATTCAACAGTTTTTGCAAAAGATAACTTGTTAACCTTAGGCAAGTAAGTTGTTCATCAAACAAAAACTTGGCGGCTGTGCTTTTCCTTGTGCCTGGGATAGGACACAACACTGCTCTGACAAACACCTCCTCATTGCTAGCTGGCTGTAGCCTCCCAGAAATAAACAGAAAATAGATCCCTTCATGTAAAAGGGAAAGAGGTCATGCTTTACATGGATATTCTTTTTCCCCACCCAAAACTGGTTTGCAGAATTTCAGAGAAGGGTACATAGTACGGGGAAGAACCACAGCCACATAGCTGGGGACACACAGGCTGACGTGGGCCTGAGAAGAGAGGAGGTGGGCACCTTCCCTCCCTCACCAGAGACACTTCTAAAGCACTATCATGGGTGGGAGGTCCCCAAACCAACAAACAAAACCAATTCAAACTGTATAGACAGTTACTGTTACTTAGTCAGTAGATTTTATTTTCCTCAAGAAATGAATTTTCCTGGTTTGTTTCCACTCGACTGCAGGTAGCCTCATTCATTTCCAGAGGAAAAAAAACAATTGCTGAAGCAGGTGACTCTCAGTCTCACAGAACACACTTAGTCTCCTCTCAACTGACATTCACACAAACTTACTTGCTGTCATTACAAGCTACTCCCTGTGCCAGGTTCCTCACTGCACTCCTTTTACTTCTTAACCAAACTTGCCAGGCGACAGCAGGCATTGCTTGCCCACCTACTCTGCCTTGCACAGAGAAACTTATTTACACAACAAACAACATGTGCCTCTAATGTTGAGATACGAAAAATAAAAACTGGTTTTCAAAAGGGAAGACTGGTGAAAACAAAAACACAGCACAAAAGGGATTCAAAAACGTACCATACAATCAAAAAATACAGACACAGAGCAAGGAGAAAGCTGTTGAGCAGCAGCAATGAGCTCCCTGGAAATAATTTTGAGAGGCTCTATTGGGATGCTGCTATGATTTTAACACAGTTCCAAAGCAGGCCACACTTTTGCTGGCACAGTCTTTCACAACAGAGGGGCATCATGTTTCTACTCATTCATCTCATGCTTCTTTGCTGCTTATCACTAAGAAAAGTTTGAGTTTTTCATATTCTATCTCAAATAGACATCTACCATTTCATAGCCATCTTCCCGGCAATTTTAAAAAAGATACAGGAAACTCTCCGCAAAACCATTACCACATCAGAGGTGATGAACTCAAAAGGCGCACAGAAAGGAAGTTTTCCTCAGGCAAAGATGACAATCCTCAAAGTTAAGTTGCTCCAGCACAGAAGTGAAAGAGAACAAAGCTGGTTTCTGCTTCTATTTTTACCCCCGTGTTGATCAAAAGCCACACCTGTGGGGTTTTTTTTTACTGTGTTTTTTTGTTTACTGCAAAAAAACCAAAACCCCACACAACAACCTCAATTCTGGAATGAGCAGCCTTCACTGATAAAGTTTACACAACTTCTAGGCTTTGTCTCCTTCCATTACAATGCAAAGCAACAGAATTTTGGAAAATGAGCTAACAGCTTTCTGCCCTTCTGTTTCTGAAATTCTTTTGGGAGAAAAAGAATAATTCAGTGATCAGAGTTATATCTGACAGCAATTACAGAAAGAACTTCCTGAACATTTTTGGCTCATGATAACTTGCATATTTAACTTCACTACACAGACACAATATTAAGAAAGTTCTGCTATTGATCAAATTACTTTAAGGTTTTCACTAAGGCAAGCAACAGCCAGGCCTCAAACCAGCAAGTTTTACAGGGCAGAGAAAGGCTAATTAGTCTTCCTGTGGTTAGTGTGACCATAGTTCTTGAGAAGGATCTTCAACCAACTACTTTAGGGTTTAAACATGTCAGTGTACTAGCATCAGACATTTGAATCCACACAACTAGAATTACCCTCAGGGGTTTTATCTTTTCAAATGTTGAACAGGTTTAAATTCACTAACTATTCAAGGACTATGTATCAATAAAGGCAGACAGCTCAACAATAGACTGCAATGACTTTATTTCCTCCTCATAAAAAAATTTAATTTCTGCAAGAGGTACCTAACAATTTTACCCAGTACTCACACAAGTAAGACAGTGTCACATGTCACCTCCCAGTTCTGGGGAGCACAGCAGCAGATTGGGAGTCCAGTGGGTGAGTCTGTTTCCTTTGCTACACGCTTCAGACAGAAAGACTTCCATCTCTAAGCTGTCAGTGCTGCATTTTTTGCATGAATTCTCACTACTGAAATGAAAATTTGTTACATTACCTGTTTCCCCTAATCTCTTCTTATTGGGAGAGCTGTTTGTTCAAAGTAAACTGACCACATTCTATCAGCTCCCAGAATTCCCTACTTGGTGTCCAACATCAGTCTCCTGACTTGTGATATACTTCCACCTTGTGGCCAACTTATTTCAACAAGTGCCCGATTTCAGTTAGCTTTCATATCATGCGAAGCGCAGAACTTCCTAATCACAAATACTGGTATTTATTACAAAGCACAAACAAAACACTCAGCACCTGCCCCAATTTTTGCTGGTTTGTAGATATAAAGTGAAGGCAGTGAGAACTGCCTGAAAGTGAAGACCAAGACTAGGAATAAGAGTGGAAATTAAGAGGTTACCTAAAAACAAAGCTTCAGCTTCACCATCATCAGAGACACTTATAAGCAGTAACCCCTGGAGTCCCAGCTAGTGCTAGAATTCATGCCTATGCGTGCCAAAAAAAGAGCTCCTCCCCTTCAGAGCATACAATATATACGTATGATAAAAGACAACACTTGCAGACACAGAGCTAGGGGAAACCCAACATGCCAGTCAACTTATTACGACAACTCCAGTAATTTAGGTACCTCTCCATTAGGAAGCATATAACGGTTTAAGTAAATTGACTTCTGTAGATTTAGATGAAAATCGCAAGTTTTATCACTGCTAAAATACCATTTCAAACCCTTTTCTCTTACATTGACTGCAGGACAAAAGATGTCACCTACCTGGGAGAGGTAGCTGAACTAATAAACCACTAACTGTTGAATCCTTGTTGAGTTTTACCGTCATATCTAAGAGTTCTTCCTGAGAAATGTCTTTAGGCCTCAGTATGATCTCACTAGAAATGCCTGATAAAAACCAAAAAACAGAAGACACACATTAATATCAGGAAATTTATCTACGGACAGCTCGGTCGTTTCATCTAAAAATCTGTTCAATGCTTAACAACTGCCTTAAATAACCATGAATTACTTGCTAAACATTCTGCTTTTGCAGTCTGGTCTTTAATGCCGTATTTCTAGATGTCAAGTACAATCTTACAGCAAAACATACAGAAAAAATTAAATAAATCTACAGTTGGACACAGTATCTCCGAAATTAAAAAACAGTTTAGAAATATTTGGAAAATAAACCATGCAGTTTCACTGATAGCAACAACACTGAAGTTCCCTGTTTAGGCTATGATACTCTTTCAGTTGCAGATGAGATGTTGTAGTGACTGGGCTTTATCCCAGGTAATCAGTCACTTTGCTTTACTGTTTGATTTCATTATGTCTGAAATTTTGCCCTTAATTTTCAGAGCTGTGAAGCCTTGGGTTTGGACTGGCTTGTCTGGCTCTACTGGGGACTGAAAGCATGAAGATGGACATTATGAAGAAAAAGGCTCTTCTCAACATCTTCCTGTGAAACTGGTTACTTAAACACTATTCCCATCAATGCCAGGGTAGTAGGTTTTGCTATCACAGTTGGAGGCAAGCTGAAAAATCCACACATAAAAGAAGAAATGTAACGTGTACTTGAGAAGGCAAGCTCTTAAGCAAATATTTCACATTCAAAAAATAATTGAAGTGTCTTGCAGAAACAACTAAAAACTGACTTAATTTATCTCTGATTATGTTTATTCACCAAGCCTCTCAAAGTCAGTAAAGACACTTAACTGTCAGAAAACTTCCAGAGAACATCAGAGAAGATGAGGAAGAAAACAGTGCAAAATTAAATTAAGATACAAAGGGGGTTCCCCCCCCTTTTTAATTTTTAAATAACCGTATCCTGTGCTTACCAAAAAAGCATTTATATCATGTAACACATACCTACAGCTGCAGCTGCTTTTATCTTGTTTCTGACATAGATATGACTAGCTGGATTGTCTCCTACTAATATGACCGTGAGATGAGGTCTCTTGTTTCCACAGGATATCCATGATTCTACATCCCTTTGAACTTCTTTCAAAACTTGTTTAGCAAGCTTTGTCCCTGAGATAATGGTTGCTTCATCACTATAAAGACAAAAAGATACACGATATTTAGGTCTAAAAATTTCATAAACAAGACACTTTTAAGCGTTTGATCTACCGTGTTAAATACTTGCAAATGCTTCGATTAGTGAATTTGCTATTATTTCAAATACTATTTGAAAGACACTAACACACTACAAATCCACCCGAGAAAGAAGTGTTTCCCCGCTCTCTTACTAGAAGAGCAGGAATGTGCCATCAGTGCGTACAGAAGAGGAGCTCACCTGCCTCGTCCCACCTTCCCAACACACGTAGCCAGCCAGGCTGAACATACCTATGAACTCCTGCATTTGGGAACAGAACATGAGAACACTCTTGAACCCTTAAGTTTTTCAGTTTTAAGGAATTTTTACCCACCTGCCTCCCCAAATTTCCTTTAAAAATCTATTTGACATGGGATTATTCACACTATTCTTTTGTACATGCCTAGATGATACTATTTCTCCTATAAGGCAGTGGTGACTAACTCATCAGCTTCTGTCAAGCCCTCCCCACTTTTATTCCTTCAATTCCCTGTCCTTCCAGTAACTTCACTCTGTCCTCAACCAGCACTACAGCAGACAGACATCTTCCTTGGGTGAAGGGCCCACAACCATTGCCCTACCCATGTAGAAAAGCAGTGGAAAACTGAAAAAGTCTTAAGCCTTGAACTTGCCCCAGAACTCTTCAGCCCCCTCTTTCCCTCTATCATTGCTGCGATCATCACCCCAGCCAAGGGTATGGAACCACGCACATATTCCACCAACCCACAACAAATAAGAAATCTCCAGCATGTAGAACTTTCAGAAGCTAAGATGTTAATTCCTTTTTTATCAGACAAGCAGCCTTTATACTAACTTCATTGCTTGGTGCTGGTGGTGCTTAGAGGGGAGAAAGCAGAAGAGACAGAAAGCTAGAGAGCAAGGAATTGTAGCACTGAACCGGTTTAAAACATGATACTCTGTAAGATTCAAAATCATAACTTTAAGCAGCCAAAAAGAGTAAGTTGCATTTTATTTATTTCAGAAATTTGTGCAGTTTCAATACTTCTTAGTAAATCTTCATGACCAAAGAATCTAAATGCACAAGAGTGAGGAAGGTAGGAGGGTAACAGCAGTAGTGACACCACCACCACACAGGACAGGAGAACCTCAATGAAGGCAAAGTACAAAGAAAAGAAATCTTCAGATAAAACTTTCAGCCTTTGCTTAGGAGATTGACTACAAGTGACAGAGCAACTGAAATTACCAAATAATCGGAAAACAGAGCATGAAAAGTTAGCCTTCTCAGTTACAGATGACAAACCTGCCAAGTTACAGATGCACCATTCTCTCTTTTAAGGAGGGAAAGAACAGCAAATCTTGTGACACTTGGGATTTCTGCCCCCAGCTCTAAAGCTTACTTACTGTAAATTTTACTTTGCCCCCTATCACCTGCTCATAGCTGATGACCACACTCAACCACCCATAGTTTACCAATATCAGTACAATGTCACTAATGCAAATGCACTTTTTTGCAACGTAGCTAACAATTTTTATAGTGGTTTAGAAACTAAGTGTCCCAGTTGTACGAGTCCCAAGCTACTAAAAGCACTCCAAATATCCACTAGGTTAACTCTGCATTGAAAAATGACATCACTGTAACCAAGCTGTTAATACTGCGACTGCAAGAACCAACCCTTAGGTCGAAATGTTTATCATTTCCATATACGTTTCCTAGCAGAAGTTTTCAAATAGATTTTAAAGCTTATGACACCATATATAGCAAATAGTTTGACCCTAATCAGTGAGTACCTAAATTTTTACAAGTCCAACATCAAAACCATGGGTAAAACAAACATTACATTTCTGAGAACATAAAGATGATTGTGTTCTTCTTTTACTCACTTATATATTCCACAATTAGCAGCTATTCATGCATTACCATTCTGCTGGTCTACTTTATTAAATAACTAAGAACATGAATAGTCAGTGTTTACACTTAACCATACACATTTCAGTTATTCAAATCAAAATCTCAACACCTCAATAGTTGGTACAAGTGAAGACTAGAAATATCCTAAAACAAATTATTTGATGATGATTTATTTCAGCTGGTCATTTTTACAGTGAGACAAGATACTGATTTTAATAAATTACATTTAATCACCCTAATTAATTACTTCATTCCTACCCCTAGTGTTTGGCTACTTCAACTTTTGTTGCTTGAACTTTGCTTGACACATAAAATAAGCAAAGTACTTGATGGTATTTTACCTCTATTTTCTAGGAAGATAGAAGTGTTCATTATTTCTCTTGATCATTATTAGTTCTAGTGGGTTTACAATTTCATCTAGAATTTTAAGGCAAGGGTACAAATTCAGTATATAGAAACATGCATTACCTATTATGTAACAGAAGTGTGATTTTAGTTCCAAAGAAAAACCTCCCTGGAAGAAAAAAAAAAAACAAAAACAAAACAACAAAATGACCCAGTAGACTAGAAAGATGTTTGTTTAGATAGTAAAAGAATAAAAGCTTGACAACCTGCTGCAGTAACCTTTCTTTTAGCCTGACTACCCCAAACCTCCGGAACTAAATCATTTCAACACTCTGCAAACACATATGCTTGAAGCTTAATGTCTATACGTACACAAACACTAAATAATGTTGATGTTTAATGTGTATTGAGTTAGTTTACCATGATGTAAGTAGTTCAAAGTCATTTGCAAAAACAATAAAGCATTCTGGCCTTACATTAACATTGGACTGGTTTTCAAAGTGCAAAGTCTGATCAGTTGGGTTTTTTTCTGTACATTGTTCTGGGGGATGAACGTGCCCACACCTAGAACAACAGTCATCAGGAAAAAAACCAAACCACCACGCTTTCTGAGATGGTCTAAAACCAGTTTTGCACTCTGTCTCTACTATACAAAACTTACACAATTGGAGTAAAATAACATATGATTAATGTTTTATTATATTAATAAGATACATATTTGTCTGTTTATCAGTGTACTCAAACATGAGAATTGTTTAACACTTCAACACATGGGAAAATATCAACACCATATTTATTCAGAGACATTTGTTTAAACTTTATAGACACTAGGATGGTAGAACATGAAGGATTTTAAAATATTACTCTAACAGCATATGGAAGAAATGCATAGTGGTGAGTTGTGAAACAAATTCTTTCCTCTTCTAGTCTTTAAGATGGAATAAAAATAAATCCTAGAAGCACAAGCAAACTACCAGGAGCATCATCCCACCCCTACCATACTTCATCCATTTCTTGAAAAGAACTCTTTGCCTAAATAAGATCATATTTGGAAACAGACAGCTGCTGCCAGCACTTCTGGAAAAGAAACCAATTTTCTCCACTTTCTAACTGCACCCAAAACACCACCACAGTCTTCTTGCCACTACCTTCCAAGTTACTAAAAGGAACTTGTTTAAATGCCAGGGGCTAAAAAGCAGAAACCATTCCTGGGTTTAGATGCAAATTCTAAAAATGAAACAAATGAGGTGGCAGTGTATTGTCATTTACCATTCCAAACGGAGAAGTTTCTCCTCTTTCCAAGATTATTCTGTCCTTCATGACTCCAGGCATTACCTTCCCAAAATTAAGAAAACAGTTGCGCTACCATCACTTTTTATGTGGCATAGCTGATTTATTTTCGTGAAGCATATTTCATCAAGAATCTACATTCTGCTACATGGTCACCATCTACTCATACCACATCTTTGAAGGCTCTGAATTTACTCAACAAGCATTAAAGCTTTGAGTGTTTCTCCAGATGTAGTATGTAAGGTGCTGAGAGTTTATTAGGGAAAGATGAAGCAGCAGCATACACCTACAACCTGCTGCACAAATATACTTAAATTCAGCTTGCCTGCCAATTCTAACAACCTTCTGAGCAACCAGTTTTAGCAAAACAAAGGTCACCTTGAAAACATCTGTGACTTTCTGAATACAACTCTCATTTGTCTTCTATGCATCAACTTGTATTTTCATATGTGAAATAAACATCAAGGAGAATACTTTTACTACAGCTCAGTGAATACTATCACATTTGTTATTTGGACCTTCAGAACTCTAACTCAGCAAAACCACCCAGTTATAAAATTAAATCTCAGAGAAAACAAAAAAACCCACAAGCTTTAAATATATAGCTAAAGAGAAAATTCCAATATCTTGCCATTCTCCTTAGCTGCACGATAATGCTCTTCAAAGTCTTTCATTCATATGTTAAAAATACTGCATATAAAACTTTCTCAAGTAAAGAAAATTTTTCATAACTGTCAAATATAAAAATAGCAAATGTTATAGTATATCAATGCTTCTTAGGTTTAGAATCTCAATAGTTTAAGTCCTTTGATAGAAGTATTATACAAGAACTACATGAAAAAAGTAAAGCATCAGCAGCAGAGGAGGGTTGCACTGCAGCAAGCTATTCAAGGCATCAAGAAGTGAGTTATTATTTTAAATTTTATTCACATGAAAAATTTGATCAGGTGTAGTAAGAGATTTAACACTTGTTCCTATGCCACCCTGTCCCACTATCATCCTACCCACTCATGGATGCTCTTATTCTGAACCCTGTGTGAGAACAATTCATGTACTTGCTCTTTCTTTTTAGCGCATCCAGTGACTCGCAGGTCGTTACAGAAACAAAGATGTCAACTGCTATTTTGGATCAACCTCTACAGTAAAAGCCCAAAATCATACAGGGCATCGCAATGGGACCTTCTCAATCCCACACATACCACCTGAAAGCCTCTGTAAAATCATTACTACAGGAGCATCTACTTTTCACAGAACTGGAAAAAACCAGTCACTAGCGGTGAAGAAGAGAAGGAGGCATGCACTATTCCAGAAATACAGCTATTTGTGCCAAACCCAGCAGAATCAAATCCTCTGTTATGCAGGATATGCCAGATACCTAGGAGGTCAGATGCTTATTTCAATTATCACAGTACGGCTTACTAATCCGTTCACACTTGAAAACACAAAGCAAAGACAATGCTTCCAGTGTAGGCTACTCGTGATCTGCGAAACCAAGCAACCTTTCAGGTCCGTATTTAAAAAAACTCCAGCATAAATTAAAAAAGAGCTTGGCTGAAACCCTCCCACTCACACCCAGGACCCGTGGTGGCCGTGGCTCAACACCAACATGAGAAGCTTGGTCCAGCCAGCACATTAAACGAAATACAAGGGGGTGACAATGCCAGACACTGGTCCTTGCTGTGTCGCAGTGTGTCCTGCTGGCCCAGGGACCTGGGCTTCCAGCTAGCTCTGGCACTGCTGCAGTGCTACTTGAGCATGACCACGTGGGCTTTAATTATTTTTATTTTAAAATTTGTAATATTTTTTAATTTTTTTTTTTGGGAACAAGGGAGCATGGCAGTATCACACCGCCTGCGTTGCTGGGCGCAGCGAGAGGCAGTGGGATGGCCTGTCACCATCACAGGTCCCTTCGTGCAGGCAGTAATATTCTTCAGCAAACACTAAAACACTCACCTACAACCCATCAGAGAAAACAATCACAGATGCCAAAAAAATTCATATACATGTTAATTCTGTGTAAAACAACTGAGAGGCTCGTTAAGGCAGCAAGAGCCACCAAACGTTTAAGCAGCAGACCCCTCAGGGGGAGCAGGGAGGAAGGCCAGCAGGGCCCCCTCATTCCACTGCACCCCTTAAACCCCACGGGCCGAGCACTGCCGGTGCCGCAGCTCTCCCTCCCTCTCTCCCGGTACCTCTGCCCGCTGCTCGGTCCCCGCGGAGCCCCCTTTTCCCGGGGGGAGAACCGCCGCCCGGCCGGGGCAGCCGCCCCTCAGGCGATGGCCGAGGGCGCCCAGCCCGCCCTGCCCTTCCCTTCCCTCAGGGCTGCCCGCCGCGCGCCCAGCGCCACCGTTACCCGGCGGCGCGCGGCCGGCCCGCCGCCCCTCAGGAGGAGGAGGAGGAGGGAGCATGAGGGATGAAGATGGCCCGAACGGCTCGGCGTACCTGGCGGCGCTGCGAGGGGAGCTGCTGGTGCTGTAGGCGGGCCGGGGCGCCGGGTGCGAGAGGGCTCGCCATCGCCTCAGCGGCGCCAAGCCCGGGCGCAGCACTGAGGAGGAAGAAAAGGCGGCCGCCGCCGCCATGTCGGTCCCGACGGACGGAAGCGCCGCCGCAACCGAGCGACGAGGGGAGGAGCCAGGGCAAGTAGCGGGCCCGGGGCCGGGCGCGGTGCTGAGGGCAGGGCGGAGCGGCCGGGCGCCGTGACAGGGACGGCGGGGCTGAGGGGAGGCGGGAATACACCGCCAGGGAAGGCACAGCTTTGGGCAAGCCATCACAGGGGGCTGGCAAACCGGGCCTGGGGCCAGCAACTTTGCGGGTCTGTGAGCTGAGAGGGCGAGCGGCACAACCCCCCCCTCTCCTCAGGCCGTGCCACCCCTCAGTGCTTCCAGGGCTTGGGGCAGGACCCGCTGCAGGTTGATGCCGTGAAAGACGAAATCAGGACTCAATAGTCGGGATGGCTATTAG